ACAGAGCTCATCTTTATCCCAGATGTTATTCAATATCTATATGAAACTGTTGGGAGTTCAATACCATCTGTATGCAGATGATGTCCAACTCTATTACTCCTTTCCATCAGATGCCAAGGAAGTAATCCCTCACCTGAACCATTGTCTGAAGTCGGTAATGGAATTGATGAGGGTAAACAAACTGAAGCTCAATCTAAATAAGACAGAGGTACTGCTGGTCTCATGTAAGATCGAACTGGGAATAGGGTTACAACTTGAGGTAGATGGGGTTACACCTCCCCTGAAATCCCAAGTTCATAGTTTGGAGGCAATTCTGGATTCTGCCTTAAACCTGGAAGCCCAGGTGGTGGTGGTGGTGGTGGTGGTGGTGGTGGTGGTGACTAGGATCGCCTTTGCACAATTAAAATTTGCATGCCAGCTGTGCCCATTCCTATGTATGCTGAACGCATGAAGGCTGTGAATAAACCAAATATGTTATTTTATCCAAGTCTGCTTCATTTTTGTCTCTTGAGTGCATGCTATAAAACAAGTTGTTTTATGGGAGAGTATATATATATTGGGCACTGAAAAACACTTCTAAAGCCCTGATATTTTTATACACTGGCAAAATCTCTGTTTTTCTAACAGATCAGAGATAACAGGTTATTCAGTCAAACAACTGAAACCCATTGCCTAGCATAATTAGATTTGGTTGTATACCACAAGAGAAAATTCTACTCTAAAGGGGCCTCTTTTGTGAAAGGTTATGATCTTTTCTAAATGTTATGATTTCCAAAAGGTGTTTTCCAAAAGGTTATAAATGCCATTTTCCAAAATGCAGCTCAAACTGGGAACTGTTACTGTTAGACCACAATGCCCAGAAGAGTTGTATTCCCAACAAATAATATTTCTAAGTGCAAGTAAAAGTCATATCTTTGATTTTAAACTACACCCCAACCCCAACCTCGGATGTGGAACAAATCTAAACTTGGCAATTGGATTTTGGGAACAGTAGTAAAAAATGTAGGTTTTCCAAGCTCTGTCTCCTACCAGAAGAGGCTGAGAAGGTTTCCAAGAGCTTTCTACACACAAGGTGTGAATAGAGTTTCCAACTAATGGAACTTGGTGGGTGAGAGAGTGTCCAAGCATAGTGCTTTTTGTTTTTGTGCTTTTAAGCTATTTGATTTCAAAGCAAAGCATTTCACAGATTTGGTAAGTTTAAAGTATCTTATAGTGTCCATTGTTCAAGTTGTTTTTAAAGACACATCTTCACTGGCCCCCAGTAAAAATAAGTTACCAATCCTACAAGTTGAGTCAAAGGGAATTTTAAGATTTGAAATTAGCATCCAGTTGTCACTAAATGATGACCTCTCTGTATCCATATTGCCGATGAGTACTGGGTGAACTCATCTTATTATCTGAAGTGGAAATTTTGGACCCAGGTTTGGGTCAGAACAAAAGAGTGGTAGAAAACACTGCTGCTGCCTGAAATTCTGCCAGCAATGCACTCAGCTAACCGATCTCCCTTCTTATCCCTTGTTGACAAGATTAATATCAGACATTTTGTCTGAAATGGAACCTCAATTCAAGCCCAGTTATCCTCTTTCCCATTAGCAAGACATTCTGTGAGCTCTTTATCAAGAGCTGGCAGATGGGTGCTGTGTTTATCATGGTGGTGCAGGAGCTCTGTCAACTCTGGGGAAACAGAAAAGCCTGTGCCAGAGACAGGCACAATGGTATACAGTTCCTATTCCTGGAGAAGCAGCAAAACACAATCTGTGCTAAGATTTCAATCAGACTCACCAGCAGCTGGCTAAAGGATTCTGGGAGCTATAGAATTAGATCCAAGTTTTGATTCATATATATAGATAATCAATAGTACTAACTGTTCCCCCTCATCCATGGAAGTGAAGGAGCACGACTATGCATGCAGCAATGAAAGAGGATAGATGGTTCCCTCTCTTTATGCTGTTGGCATGTATCTGCGGTGTCACATATTTTTATTCTGTCTTCAAAGTTACTACCAAACACCATGCCCTCCGCCTTTTTCCATTCGGACCTGGACACTTTAATTTTCTGAGAATTACTCTAGGGAGCTCCTCATGTTCCAATTCTATCCCTCTGCATGAACTGATATGTGCCTGAAGCCAAACATCATAATCACATACTTTCTGAAGTTATTTATATGTGTATATATTTATCTTCATGTCTTAATTTGTACTTGAGTTTCACTCATTTTAGAGTGATACTAAAAATATAAGCCAATGTTTGCCCTCTGCCAATGCCTTGGCATTAAGAGTATTATTTTAAAGGCACTGTGAATTAGGTGCACACATGCACACATGCACACAACTTTCCTCATATAAGTATGAACACACATACAGCTGATTTGGGAAGCTGAATGCACAGCTGACTTTTCTAACCCACTGAAACAAGAGGAAAATGCTGGATGTTTTCCAAAGGAGAGATGGAGCGATTTTTTTCTTACTGCTTACCTGACCAGAATAATGGAGCAGTAGAGACTGTGACTAACCCCAAGGGTATTTCTCATGGGACAGCGAATGCTGCCAGGCAGATCTTGAGCCACAACTATTATTCTGTGATACCAGTGATACCCAGGAGGTGGTGAGGCCAGAGGACAGGGCAAGAGGCAAGATAGCTGGCAGATGGTTAGATGAATATCCTGTGAGATCTGATGCAGAAATGATTACACGTGTGCCATTTAAGATACATCCTGAATTGACTGGATCTTCAGTATGGTCCTGTTCATCAATAGCAACCAAGGATATGATTTGGGGACCTGACTTTATCTTTCTCCTCATCTTTTCCAGAGAAGCCGTAGAATCACCTGCACTTCACTTGTATCCTTAGTGAGATTTTAATTTTATAGACAAGAGTCTTCTCAGAGTCAACAGAGCCTAAACCAGGGGTCTTCAAACTAAGGCCCGAGGGCTTGATATGGCTCTCCAAGGTCATTTATCTGGCCCTCGCTGAAGGTCAACCTAAATCTGAAACGACTTGAAAGCACACAACAACAACAACCCTATCTCATCAGCCAAAAGCAGGCCCACAGTCCTCACTGAAATACTAATAAGTTTATATCTGTTAAAATTGTTCTTCATTTTACTTATTGTATTGATTTGAAGTGCTTTTGCACTACAAATAAGATATGTGCAGTATGCATAGGAATTCATTCATGCTTTTTTCAAATTATAATCAGGGCCTCCAACAGTTTGAGGGACTGTGACCTGGCCCTCTGTTTAAAAAGCTTGAGGACCCCTGGCCTAAACCCTTTCAGAGCCACTTCCATAACACGGCACTGTCAGACTGGGTGAGATGTGCCAAGCTTGACAAGAAAGACACAGAAGGGCCCTCTAAGGAGACTGAAGCAGCATGAAGAGGGCTATCCTTCAAAATCAGCATCCCTAAGAGACCATTCCTGTGCGGAGACAGGAACTGGATTTTAAATGGATTTTTTCTCTAGTGTGATGAGCTTGTATATCTCTTTCCCACTGTCATACCCCCACAGAGGCTTTTAAGGCTTTTATTGTTTTCTTTGTTGAGCCTCAGTTGTCCCTTTATTTAGAATAGTTTTAGTTCCTTTTTATATAGTGCTGATCTTGAATACAATTAAATTCCTTTGGTTTATGTTACACCTTTTGTTGTGAGTTTCCAATTCTGTTCTTGTCAAGAATAGGGCACGTGAGGAGAGTTAGCTCGGGGAAGAGAACACCCACCACACACCAAGGAAGCTGTGTCTGTTCTAAACCAGTTTCTATTGTCAGTAATGGCCTGGATGAGGGGGGGGGGGATTGAAACATAATCAAGTAAGAAAGAGGTGCTCCTAGTCCGTTGAAAGGATTAGCAGGAAATAGGGATGTATCCTGTGTTATATGGGGATACACTCACCTTTAAATATCAGGTTTGCAGTTTAGGCGTACTCCTGGTCTCAAACCTAAGCCCGGACGCCCTAGTTTCAGCCATGCCCAGGAGTGCTTTTGGACAGTAAATAGTATACCAGCTGCAGTATACCAGCTGCAGATCTGAGATGTCAGATCTGGCAACACATGCTTTGATTATATCCCATTTGGAATACTGTAACACACTCTATATGAGTTCTGGAAACTGTTTGGAAAATCAGTGAGCCCAGAATGCCATGTGGTCAGATTGTTGACTAGGGCAGATTACAAAAAGCATATAATATGTCTGCTGAAGAAGTTCTACTAGCTGCCAATCCATTTCCAGACCCAAGCTGTATGGGTATGACCTTCAAACCTCACACAGTTTAGGTGTAGAGTGACTATCTAAATGGCCATATTTCCCTATATAAGAAGTTTTAAAGTATTTCAGTCCCTGGCTGGTTGTTACATGGGGGAATCCTTTGTTGGGAGGTGTTAGCTGGCCTGATTGATTCTTGTCTGGAATTCCCCTGCTTTTTGAATCTGCGAACTCTACCTCCTCTAAGGTGAACTGAGCCACCTAAACTGGGCTCTACAGGCCAATGGATACTCCACCACAGACATCAGAAGTGCTGCAAGATCAAACAATTGGGGTCAGGTAACATCTCCAATCAAAAGATTCCCCAGGCAGCAACCAGCCAGGTTTTGAAACTGCAAGGCCATTAAATGCTTATCAAGGTAGCCATTTGCAACATTCACACTTGCCCCAAGCAAACAAGAGTTCTTTCTCCCACCCTGGACATTCCACAGATATATAAACCTCACTTGCCTAGTTTCCAACAGACCTCACAACCTCTGATGATGCCTGCCATAGATGTGGGTGAAATGTCAGGAGAGAATGCATCTGGAACATGGCCATACAGCCTGGAAAACTCACAGCAACCCACAACTCCTAAAATCTGCCCTATTCTCAAAGCAAACAGATATACCGTAATCCTACATGCCACATTTACATTCCTAGTTTTTTTGGGTTTTCTTTTGGGGGGGGGGGGCATACATGGTAAGAGGATAAAATCTGGAGAAATGTATAATTGTTCAGACAATTATAAATTTTGCAGAATGTTTACACTTTTATGTAGTTTATTTGTATTGTGTAACAAAATGATGCTATGGGGGACTAATGTATCCTATCCTGGTAAATGATGTTTAAACTCTATTTACAATAAAGAATGTGTAGCAGAAGAGGATCATCCAGGGCTTAGCATTTGAACTCAGAAATGGAGATGGCCTCAGCTAATTAGAATACGAGCAGACTATAAGAACACTGGAGCAGGCCTGCTTGGTAGACAACAATTTACTGGGGTTCATGCACTCTCTATAGAGACAGGTGAAGATGGTGGGAACTCAATGTTTCCCATATGAACAGATTCTTCTCTTTCAAGAGGGGTTGAGATTTTAACCTGTTGAGGCTCTTCGTCCCCACTAGGAGGTGGAGTTACAACTTCTTCTTTCATAGCAAGAGGCTCTGGACTAGGAGACACAATCATAGGAGATTCTTCTACTTTAGGTGTCATAAGGGCACTGCTTCTAGCAGAAGGTGAAACCACAGCAGCCTCATCACGAGCAGGTGCATATAGGGCTGCTTCATTTGCAGGTGGTGATACTACAGCTGCTTCATATACAGGAGGTGATGCTACAGCTGCCTGGATGCCAGGTGATACCGTGCCTGCTTCATTTCCAGAAGGGGATACTATGTCTGCTTTGCCGCCAGGAGGTGAATATGGGGCTGCTTCAGGGGACTGAGGCACAGCTGGTTTGTCGCCATAAGGTGAAAACATGGCTGCTGCCTTATCAACATACTCTAGTTCAGCAGATAGCATGGGACTGCTACGTTCTTGTTCTTGGGTGTCTAAAAGGGCCTCCTCTTCCCCCGAGGCTGGGAGGTCTTCTTCCTGTTCCATCTCTTTGGTTGCAGCGGAAATACTTTTTTTCTGCCAGTAACGACGGAAGCAATAGCAAAAACTGCAGAAGATGATAGATAATCTCTTAGAACCACATGGCATACAGATCATAGCTGACATATTTCCCTGGATTATTCTATGCAAAATGTGGGCGGGGACAAAGTTTAAGGATACCACATGGACCTTCTTCAAGTAGCATTGGGAGTTAATGGACCAACCTGGTAGCCTAGTTTCATCAGCAAGCCAGAGATTCAACATGTCTGCAGTTCAGATCCATTCCACTGGCTCAATTTGTTCATATCATTCTACCTCTTAAGGTACTCAAATAACTCCTCAGTGGATTAACGTTACCCAACAACCCACACATAAATCCCTTTGGCCTACAATATTTTAGTGGACTGAGGTTAGATAAGCAGGGTAAATATCCCAGAACTTACAGCACAATGAAGCAGAAGCACAAAAGTGGTGGTAAGGAAAAGGCTACCACCAGCATGGAAATCCGATGTGATGGAGTGACTGTGTGAAAGAAACATGAGTCACTCAAGAGCTTTATCTAGGCATATTATCAATCACAACTTCCAGAAGCAAATCAATGGAACAAAGTACATACTCTATTCAAGAATATGTACTAGTCAAAGGCAGTCATCCCGGCAATAATAAATAAATAAATAAATAAATAAATAAATAAATACTTTATTTTTGTACCCCGCCTCCATCTCCCCAAAAGGTCTCAGGGCAGCTTACATATGGCACAATGTGCCGAAACAAAGCATAAAATAAACACACAGTACAATACAATAAAGTAATAACGATAGCATAGAAAAACAACAGTTTAAAACTCAGAACAACGCCCCATGACCCATGGTGACACAAATATTGTTAGTAGAAAAATCCCATTCCACATATTCTCACAAGTGATCACAAGTGAAATCTATAAGACTGGATTTGGGGGAGGGGGGGTACTGCTACTTAGCTACATAGAATTCATCAATTATGCCCCATATTCTTTCTCAGAGACTACTAGAATACTAGCTCTCACCCCTTTCGTTGGTTTGTGTCACTAATGGAAAAAGGATGACTTGCTGAGGTTCAATTCAAATAAAACTTTTAATGCATCTTGCATTTAATAAGCAACTACAAGTTTTAAAAGGCACCTGGTACCAGCTTAAGGGGATGCTCATGATTATGTTTGCAGAAAAAGTATACCAGACAACCTCCCTGTGAACCTGAATGAGCTTTAAGATCTACTGGGGAGGCCCCTCTCTCGCTCCCACCTGTCACAAGCACGGTTGGTCGAGACGAGGGAGGGCCTTCTCAGTGGTGGCCTCCCGGCTCTGGCTCTCTCTCCCCAGGGAGATTAGATTAGCGCCCACCCTGTCCACCTTCTGTAAAGACCTGAAAACTTGGATGTTCCAATGTGCCTTTGATTAATCCATTCACAAATTGACTTGGTCCTCCTAGCCCAAACTCGATATCTGGCTTTTGCACTTTACTACCAGCCCCACTCTTAAGGCTGTATTGCACAAATTGACTTGGCCTTTCTAGCAATAAAAAATAGCTGGCTCTTGCACTTTACTATCAGTCCAGCCATTGTATTGCACAAGCCCTTGCCCCACCCTTACAGTTCTGAACACATCCACTGTGCCCAGATTCTGGTGCTGGCTGTTGATGGTTTATGTTTTTTATGAAGTTCTGTGTGGCTTTTGTTTTTAACTTGTTGTAATGCACTGTATTTTATTGTGCTATATTTTAACTCTGTTTGACTGGGCTTGGTCCCCATGTAAGTCACCCCTAGTCCATTCAGGGTGATGGTGGCGGGATATAAGAATAACATTATTATTATTATTATTATTATTATTATTATTATTATTATTATTATTATTATTAAGGACGGGACACCTTATTGCTGCCTAAAGAAATATCCATTCTATAAAGTTTGCCTTTGTGCTAGGTGAAAAGCCTCCAAAAGAAAAAAAAAAGCATTAAATCTGTCCTTCCAGCTAACTATGAGCCAAATGTTATCAGTCTCCTTCCCAGATTATATTATTACTGGTATTTGTTCTGATATATTTTGTCCAGTCTGGCCTCCAAAATCTGTCAGTCCAAGAATTCATATCAAAAGTTCTCAAACGGTGTCTAAGGAAATAAAATCCAGCCTAGTACATACCTCTTAAACTCAAGCAGTCTTCGGCTCTGCTGGCACCAGGCTCTGAAGTAAGCAGGTTGTGCTTGCATGGAATACAAGCGGTTGATCCATAGTGAACACTGAAGCTCCCAATCGAACAAAGAACACAGTTGTCAACTGTGGCCTCGCTGTATGTCCCAGGAGGGCACAACACTGTCACACACAATGGGTAGATACAAGCAAAGAGAGGTTGATAAACTGAGATCAATGCATAGGTTTTTTTAAAGCACTGTTTAATTCCTCCATCAAGCTGAGGGGAGGGGGAATCAAGCTGGCCAACTACAGAATGGGCCCTGCACAAAATACCCTTTCCAGCACTTGGTGGGTTGGATTATAACCCACCATATACTGTGCTGAGTCATAACTATTTGATTTAGTGAAGTCACACATTCTGCAATACTGCTCAGTGACTGGGCTGGTTCCAACTACATGAAATCTTTTGTAAGGCCGCTCTGATTCCCCTTTGGGGTTGAGAAGGGTAGAATATAAATACTGTAAATAAATAAATAAATAAATCCGAAGCAGGACTGTAACATGGACGGCATTAACAAACTCACAAAAGAAAATGTAAAGGGGACACCTGTTGTTGGATATGTACTTTCAAGATGTTGTATCATCAACTTTGCATCAATAGCACTGGCTTTTGATTTGCTTCCAGGTTCAAGCAAAGGGATTGGTTTTAACCGACAGAGAACTAAACAGTTTGGTGTCAGTGTATCTAAAGCATTGCCTCCTCCCATATGAACCTGCCTGAAATTTAAGATTGTGAGCAACGACTTTGCTGCTTGTCCAGTCACAATAGATTGGTAAATACAGATAGCAGGGCTTTCTCTGTCGTACCTACTTAGCTTCTACTGAGCAGCTAAGGCTATGTTATTTCACATGGCCTTTGTTCCTCAAAACCAGAGTGACTGTTCTGGCTCTCTTCACTGTGTGTGGTTCTTTTGGCTGTTTTCTAAGAAATCATTTTAGTTTGCATTTAAATAATGTATGTATTTGTTTATATTTAATGTTTTAAATAATGCTCCTTGGCTATACATTGCCTTGGAGCCCTGGCAGATGGAGGCAACAAATAAATGATTAAAATAAGGTAACACAAGGGTCACCCAGACAGCTTCTCATCAGTCATTTCTAGACTGTTGAATGACCTGCCAGAAAAACTCCTGACAGCTAAACAAGCTATCAGAATTTCAAACAGAATTAAATACCTATCTGTTCCAGCAGGCCTACCCAGTCAACTTTGAATCATGACTTTTGAATTTGTGTTCTATTGCCACTATATAATATAATATAATATAATATAATATATTTATTTATGTATTTATTTATTTTCGTTCTCTGGGTTTGGTGTATGCTTTTAATAATGGTGTGATTTTATCTATGTATTTTATGTTCATATGTTTTGACTGTTGTACTCTGCCTCGAGACATTAGGAAAGGTGAGTAACAAATAAAATATATTTCTATTATCATTATTATTTGATACACAACAAGATTAGTACACAACAAACAAAATCAATATGCTGGCTTTTGTATTTGATCGCACATCGGACACTTCCTAAGTGTCTACGACTATGTAATGTATCGGCAAATAATGTGTGCAGATCCCAGTAGGGTGGCCTTTTGCAGCTGACAGATGGTAATTTTGTCAGCGCCAATTGTTTTTAAGTGTAGGACAAGGTCTTTAGGCACTGCACCCAGTGTGCTGATCACCAATGGGACAACCTTGACTGGCTTGTGCCAGAGACTTTGAAGTTCTATCTTTAAATCCTCATATTGTGTAAGCTTTTCCAGTTGCTTCTCATCAATTCTGCTGTCGCCTGGGATTGCAACATCGATGATCCATACTTTTTTCCCCCCATGATTGTGAGGTCAGAAGAATTGTGCTCCAAAACTCTGTCAGACTGAATTCAGAAGTCCTAAGGTAGTTTCATTTTGTGTAACTTTTGTGTTCATTTTGTGTAACTTTTTCAGGCTTGTGATCCCACCAGTTTTTTTGCCGCAGGCAGATGGTATTTGTGGCACAAATTCCAGTGGATCATCTGAGAAACAGTATCATGCCTTTGCTTATAGTCTGCACAATCTTCTTGCAGCAACTGAGTATGTGATCCATCGTTTCATCTGCTTCCTTGCAGAGTCTACATTTGGAATCTGTCGTTGACTTCAATTCTGGCTTTCATGACATTGGTTCTAATTGCTTGCCAATTTTTGCCAATTTTCTCTTTTGCTCTCCATTGTATTTTTATGGTGTTCACTCTTTGTCTTTTGCACTTTAAGCATTACTATTATATTTATTTTATAATTTTTATATATATATATTTACATATCTATATTTATAATTTTATTTATATATTTGTTATTTTATTTTATTATTATGCACTTTAAGCATTTTTTAAAACAAACAAACAAAATAACCACATGATGAGTTGTTTCCCAAGGATGTAAACAGAAACTGCAGTCTGTGTTACCAAAGGCAGTGTCTGAGGTGGGATGAGGCAGCATCTCATAGATCACCTGCTCCACTCACTACAGCAGTCGGGACAGTGTGCCTCTAGCTCCTGTGTCTGTCCATAACCGCTCTGGCATTTTCCACCCTCCAGGAAGTTGAAGAAGGTGTTGTTAAAGGTGTAGTTAAAGGAAGTATCGTTAGCAAGTGAGTCTCCCACAGGGAAGTATTTGTTGTGATTCAGGAACTCAGTGAGGGCATCCTTGGCCTATGGTAGTTAGAGAAGAAAGGGAAGGGAGATAAAAAAAACCTGAAGAATCAGACAGGATAGTATATGCATTACATGATCACACTGCTATATGTGTCTGCTTAACCAAAGAAGGAATACAAGAAGCACAATGAATACACAGGAGGAGGATGATTTAACAACACTGTCTTGTCAATGTTACATGAAAGGGAATGCACAAATAGAAGCAATTCCATAATGCATGCTTGGTACAGAAGCATTGTTCAACTTAACTTGATAAATAAGCATAGAATTCTTGAGTCTTGCCCCATGGTAAATAGTCCCACTGTATTATGTTAGATACTGTCCAGTGCCAATTTGTGGATTTGGGATGTACACACAATGGGAGACAGTGGGTTGATACCAAAGCAAGTGAGAAGAATAGAAGAGAGCATGTTTATGCTCTTTTTGCGCTGAAAAACATCCTTCCATGGGAAAAAATACAACATGTTCATTGTGGTTCTAGTGTGATTTATCCATCAGATAAAATATTTTTGCACTGTTAATGGCAACTTCTCCACAGGCTTAAGTGAGTACATACAAAATTATCAAGCCATTTTCTAGTAGAACAGAGATGATTTCTGGTGACACACCTTCTGCAGATTGGTATGGATAGCGGCATGGTAACAATCTATTGCCAGGTCCTCCTCCTTTGGGTCACAGGACTCGTCCCAGCCCTCCTTGAAGGGAGACACTAAAAACAAAGACAAATACATTATTGTCCTCAAGCTATCCCAACCAGAGGATCAATTTTTTTCATCAGACCAATCAGAATACAAATTCTAAGCAACATTCCAGAATATTGATATAACAAAATATGTGTGTTCCATGTTTGTTATGCACTATATGGATAGATGTAACAAATAACATTATCATTATTTTTATTTGCTTATATAAGTAAAATATAACAATGTCAAAGACCCCTTTCACACAGCTGAATAAAATCCCACATTTTCTGCTCTGAACTGGAATATATGGCAGTGTGGACTCAGATAACCCAATTCAAAGCAGATAATGTGGGATTTTCTGCCTTGTTATTCTGAGTTATAAGGCTGTGTGGAAGGGTCCACAGTCACCTTTACAACAACAAAAATCCATATATTTTCATAATATTCTGATGATTCCTGTCCTTTACAATTCTAATGCAGTACTTATATACAATTTTTCCCCTTCCCTCTTCCTCCCTCCTGCCCTCGGGAACACTTGTCCCTCTCCTCTATATATGATTTTATTTGTTGGATCATGAAGAGTGTCTGATGAATTCCTTGTATTTTCCTTTCCCCTTTACTCTAGCTATAAGCCCTTTCCATTTTGACTTCCCGTTCTTCTTAGAATGCCAATTCGTATACTTAATTCTCCTTTCCGTGATGTAATCTTGGAACATATAATCTGAGAAGTATTCAAACCATTTTTAAGTTCCCATTTCCTGTGCTCTTTCCAACCTAAGGCTTGGGTAGCTGCTATCACGTATTTTACGATTTCAACCATTCTTTATTCCCACTTTTACCATCTTTTTTTTAAAGTAAAGAATTGTGTTTTGTTCAACTCTGTTTTTATCCTTAATATTTCCTCCATCTCGCTCTTAGCTTTTTATTAAAAATGTTGTAGCTTTTCGCAGTCCCACCACATATGGATAAAACTTCCAATTCCACCACATTTATTCCAACACAATTTTGATGTGTTTTATGTGATTTGGGCCAACTAATGTAGGGTTCGATATCATTTTGTCATTATTTCACATTGCATTTCCTTAATCCTTAGGTGTCTAATTTTTTATTGATTGCATCCAATTTTTGATCTCCTTCTCATTGCTATTTAATTCATCTTTCCATACCTCAATCAAAGTAAGTTTCAAATTATGTTGTTCTTTTATTATTTTATTATAGACAAATCCCATGATTTTTTTATCCTTCTCTATTTTCCATTTTAAAATTTGGTCTAAGTCTGCTTCTGGGCTTTCCTTTCTCTTCCATTCTATGATCCTCTGGGTCATTCCATGCCATAGTAACCAGTTACTTTGTCTGCAATTATTCTTTAACTCATCTCATTCTATTATTGTTTCATCACGTTTTAATAGATCACCATTTTTGTTTCATATTTGTTATCCATTTCCCATAAGTCTCTTCATTTTTGTTGTCTATTATTCCTGTTGGGAGCTTTTTATTTATCAGGAATTTACTTTGCCATTTTTCCAGCATTCCATTGTTGAAATTAATGGACCTCCTTTTATTTATTTATTTTTTATCTAACTTTTTCTTTAAACACAAGCAATGTTCCCACCCACTGATTGATTTCTCCATTCTTTCCCACTTTTTTAACTCGTCAAGATCCAATTCCAATAATCTCACTATTGGAAGGGCTCAAAATAACTCTGAAGGCATGGTGCTCCCCAACCTCCATTCCCTTATGAGGAGTAGAATATCAAGTTGGAAATTCTATTCTTGTTAGTCCCTACTATCCAAGATTTAAATGAATTGTCCCATTTCTTTATCATTTTGTTTGGAATACCAAACAGTTGGGGGGAAAGAGCAGAAACTTAGATAAAATCATCATCTTGCATATCATAAGGCTGGTTGTCATATCCCAGTTCCATTTTTTCCAATTGTGTATTTGCATGCTATTTTTCTATAACTTATGGTAATTTATTTGTATTATATTATTTAGATTTTTGGGGATATATACTCCCAAGTATTTTAACTTCTTTTTTCCCAGTTTTGCCCCAGGTTAGATTTTTGTGTAGAACATCTGATTTTTCAATGTTTATAGCTAATCCTGAAATATTTTCAATTTTTTAAATTACTTTTGTTACTTCCTTTATGGATTCCTTTGGTGATGCAACAAATGACATGCTAATTCAGTTCAGTATATCTCCTGTTCTTTTCATAACATGTTTTCATCACTGGCCATCTTACTGAAGAAATAGCTTTTCCATGACTCCAAATAAATATCCTTGAACTCAAAATGTATCATTCTGGAGCATTCAACAAATATACATTTCTAGCCAACAATTATCTCTGATGTTTTTACAAGGCAGCCAAGCTGGTAAATCCCATCGTTCTGTAGAAACTTTTATTGTTCTCAACTTTACTTCTCCCCCACATGTTTAATGAACTAAATTCTCCTAAGTCCCTGTGCCATTCTTTCCAAACCCATATATTTCTTGGTTCTGACCTTTTGTCTCTACCTGGAGGTTGAATTTATCTGTGGGTCTATCCAAAGTTGGGAAGCAAGTGATGTCCCCGATAAGGATATTAGCTTTGAAGTCAGCCACCACTTTATCCAGACGTTCATGTAGAGTCTTCATAAATTTACCAGTCAATTCGTCATCACAGGAGTTGGTCTCATAAACCAAGAGGACCTGAAGCTCTCCACGTATGTGATAGCCTGGGGAAAAGAGAAAAGGTTACTATAATTCACTATGTAATAGTCACACTTTTTATCCCTTTTTTTCTTTTGAAAAAAGGGGGCGTGACCATTATGCAAAGAGAGCAAAATGTATGGAACCAGCTGTGTCTGGGGCTTTTCCTCTCTTATTTCTAAAGAAGCAGTAGGGAAAAGGGAGAGCCCCACACCTAGTCTCCACCTAGTCTTCCTCCTGCCTCCTTGGAAGAAAGAGGGGGGGAAACCCCTCTGAATTTCTTTTTGGAAACTGGCTTACTTCCAAGAAGGAGACTGGATCTGGAGTTTTCTCTCTCTTACTTCCAAGGTGGCAGGAGGGAGAAGGAAAAAAACCCAAATCCTTCTTGGATGTAAGGAATCTGAGCCATACCCACAAGCCTTCCAACTGTTGCTGTATACCAAAGTGTGGAATGTTTCACAAAATAATAAATGCTCTTCTTCTGAAACACCCACCAAAGCATTTATACTGGCATAGCAGGAAGGGACACACCTGCCACTGTGTGAAAGAAAACCTTGGTTTGGAGTTCACCATCTTTCATGAAGGATATCGTACAGGTGTAGCGTCCACTGTCCTCAGGAGTAAATGCATGTATAGTCAGGGTAGCATCATCAGAAAGATAATGGACTCCTAGAAACAGACAGCAGAATCATACAAGCTGAATTAAAAAAATCCAATCAATCAGACAACAGTTTCCTGTAGAAAGGCTTCAAGAAAAGCCCTTTAGCAGTTTTTCCTATTCCATTTGGAAAGGGAAACTCTGTAGCTCTGGATGCATTGATTTCTCCCCTGCCCTATTTATGAAAGTATGTATGCTTTCTCTTGTTACTCTGTTGCTATGAGTGAATGTCCACATAAAACCACCTCCTGGCTCCTAACATTCTCTGTATATTCTCTTATTGCAGAAGTTATACACCAAGCAGCTTGCATGGTTGAAAATATGTTATTATGATTTTACCACTATGTTTTGTGTTTCTTTCTGCTTTCTCTCAAAGCATTTTATTTATTTATTTATTTGCATTATTTATATCCCACCCTTCTCAACCCCGAAGGGGACTCAGAGTAGCCTTACAAACGGCGACAATTTAATGCCATATACACAACAGACATAGAATAAATGTATACATTAAAATATGAATTTAAAAATCATATAAAGATTAAAATACATTATTAAAACCATGAAATCTGGGATCATAGTCAAAAAGCTGTTCTAATTGTCATTGCACATTTTCCATCACCACTTATTGCACTGCGCTATTGGTCAAAGGTTTGATCAATAGTGTAGTGCAATAAGTGATGGTGGAAAATGTCCAATGACTTTGCACTAAATGATTTTCAAGGGAGTCTGAAAAGATCAATGATGCAATTTCAGTTGGGAAGAATTGGTAGGTGGGTTTTAATTATATCCCAAAGCTGGCATTCAAAGTAACCAGTCCATTATTTCTCAGCATCTGCATTTAAATATGTATATTGTGAAGAATGTCCCAATACATAACCTTTTGAATTTAACAGATTTGAACTTAGACAACCAGTTTCTAATTAACTTGGTTTCTTCTCCAGGATGTCTGATAGATATGCTAACACATTGCTGCCTCTTTAGATTACATCCTAACCAGTATTCAAATTGTTGAAAGAAAAGGAACAAGGCTGACTAATAGTAATAGCTGAGGAGGTGGGGACAACACTAACTAAAGAGATTGGCTTTCCTCCCTGTCACTTTTCAAAACTTCTTAAAGATGTTGTTATAGGACAAAAAAGAGAACTTGATGGGTTGAATATGTCTCTCCAGAGTGTGGAGTGATGTGTATGTATGTGTGTGTGTGTATGTATGTATGTGTGTGTGTGTATATATATATATATATATAGAGAGAGAGAGAGAGAGAGAGAGAGAGAAACCAATAATGAACCTAAAGACAATATGACCTCATACCTTAGGCATAGTTATACACAAAGCATATAAAATCATGCCACTAAATCTTTGGATAAAAAAAAATCCTCAAACCTTAACATTTAGAACTTCCTGTAATATTTTTAAAGAAAAAGCTATCTATGTCACTGTAGATTATCATTCTTAAAGAGTCATTGACAAGCCTGACACACAAATGGTTTTCCCCCCTCCTCTCAAATTACTATTAGTAAGATCAACAACAGTGCACAAGATTCTTACATCTTCAGAAGTTCTTGGTATCACCTATGCTGATGAAAAGTTATCAGAAGTTTGCACACTTTATGATACTTTGTCTATATAAAGACTGTCTGACTGTGGGAGTGGGTTTTCTCTTCGCAGAAAGCATGGCTATCTTTGTTTTAAAAGGCAATCACACACTCTACATCAAGAACACAATCTCTCAACCCAATAGCAGTTTTGACACGAATGGAAAAACCTAGATCCCCATGCAACAATGCTTAGGTTACCTCCATTTTCCTTGGTCCAATTGTAGGTTGGATTCAAACCAAACACCACACCAGACTTTGCAGGCTTGCAAGGTATAGTGATTTCCTTGGTTCCAATGTGGACAAAGATGGGTCCTGAAAATGAGAAAGCAGGATGGGAAAGGTATGGCTCTCTTGGGTTCGTTTTATGGTCTCTTGGATTCCCCCTGCCTCCTAAGAATAGAAAATGAGCCGCAGATTCCCTCCAATGGGCATTTTGCCATCTTCCCCATCCCCAGGCAATTTTAATCAAAGAAGATGCCTCTAAAAAAAAGGAATCAAAGAGGAAATTATATATGCTAACTTCCTATTGTTTATAAAAGAAAGTCTTCCCTGGACCTAAAATAGCATGGAGAACTCAAAACATGGCAAAGATGAGACAATTTTTATTTTATTTTATTCTTTTGCTGGGAACCACAGAAAAAGATTCATCTCTCAAGCATCTCCAGGAAGTCAGGTTAATGCAGCCTGCAGCCTTCTATAGTTGCCCACCTTGGTCTAGGGCAGTTGTTTCCCAAATTCTGGTCTTCTAGGGGTTTTGGACTTCATTTCCAAGAATCCCTAAGCATTGGCCAAAAGAGCCAAGGCTTCTGAGAGTAGAAGTCCAAAACACCTGTCTTAGAGTTTGGGAATTACTGGTCTAGGGTAAAATCATAAAGTTGGAAGAGACCACAAAGGCTTTCCAAACCAACCCCCTGCCATGCAGGAATACACAATCAAAGCATTCTCAACAAATGGCCATCCAACTTTAGAATCATAGAATCACAGAAGTGGAAAAGACCTCATGGGTCATCCAGTCCAACTCCCTGCCAAGAAGCAGGGAAATCACATTCAAAGCACCCCTGACAGATGGCCATTCAATCTCTGCTTAAAAGCTTACAAAGAAGAAGCCTCCACCGCACTCCGGGGTAGAGAGTTCCACTGCTGAACGGCTCTCACAGTTATAAAGTTCTTCCTCATGTTCAGCTGGAATCTCCTTTCCTGTAGTTTGAAGCCATTGTTTCGCATCCTAGTCTCCAGGGCAGCAAAAAGCAAGCTTGCTCCCTCCTCCCTGTGACTTCCCCTCACATATTTATACATGGCCATCATGTCTCCTCTCAGCAGTCCCTTCTTCAGGCTAAACATGCCCTGCTCTTTAAGCCACTCCTCATGGGGCTTGTTCTCCAGATCCTTGATCATTTTAGTCACCCTCCTCTGCACACGTTCCAGCATGACAACATCTCCCTTCAGCTGTGGTGCCCAGAATTGGACACCATATTCCAGGTGTGGTCTGACCAAGGCAGAATAGAGGTCTTCCTGGATCTAGACACTATACTCTTATTTATGCAGGCCAAAATCTCATTGGCTTTTTAAGCTGCCACATGACATTGTTGGCTCATGTTTCACTTGGTTGTCCACGAGGACTCCAAAATCTTTTTTCACATGTACTGCTATTGAGCCAGGCATCTCCCATTCTGTCCAGTAATCTTCTTCTATGAATCTACAATTCCTGCTGGATCTGGGCATTGTATGTTTTTACCCTGTTTCCCCTTCCCTTCTGCTCCCTCACCCATATTGTGCTTCAGTAGTTATATTTATATTTTTAATGTACCAAACATACCAAGTTTGTATGAAAATGTGACTATTTCTTGTGCTGGTCAATGACCGAAATAAATGATTTGATTTGATTCATTCTGTATCTTTGCATTTAATTTTTTTCTGCCTAAGTGGAGTATCTTGCATTTGTCCCTGTTGAACTTAATTTTGGCCCATTTCTCTAATCTGTTAAGTTTTGAATTCTGCTCCTGTCTTCTGGAGTATTGGCTATCCCTCCTAATTTGTGTTACCTGCAAACCTGATAATGCCTTGCTTTAAAACCTCCAGAAAAGGAGACTCCACCAGCTCCAGGGGAGCAATTGCCTTGCAAACAGCTCTCACTATCAGGAAATTTAGGTGGAATATCTTTTCCTGGTATTTGAATCCATTACTCCATTGTGTTCTCTTCTCTAGACCAGCGGAAAACAAGCTTGCCCTGCCCTCAATGTGACACCTTTTCAGAAACTTAAATATGGTAATAATATTCTCAGTCTCAATCTATCATGTCCCTAATATTCTCAGTCTCAATCTATCATGTCCCTTATCAGCCAGGTCCCTCAGCCATTTCTCATAGGGCTTGGCTTCCAGACCGTTTTGGTCACCGTTCTTTGGATATGTTCCAGCTGGTCAATATCCTTCTTGGAAACAGGGCATCACCCCATCATAAAGTGGCATTCGCCTCTGGGACCTGCAAGTGGTAAGTTATCTTTCTAATGTTCTCACCCCTTTCTCCAGTAGTTTTTCTGTCTTCATTGTCATCCGATTCTGAAAATGTTTCATTGTTGAATAATTCATGGGGAACCAGTCCATAGCCTGGAAAAGGATAGGGGACCTCAGTAAGATTTCACTCAGTGTTTACCAAGCAACAACATTTGTGAGACCTGGACTCCACCCCAGAGCTCCCTTCAGAGAAACAGTGCAATAATATAATATAATTGCAATATGTGAAATGACTATGGAATAGCCTTAGATTACGACCTTTGTGTGGCGTGTTTTAATATTGAATGTTGTTTTACATGTTTTATATGTATTACTGTTAACCCAATTGGTTTTAAGCTTAATGTTTATATGTGTTAAGGCACTGAATGATTGCCAAATGTAAGTGTGCTTGCTCCATCCATGTTCAACATCTACACAAATGACCAGCCACTGCCAGAAGGGACAGAGAGTTTCATCTATGCTGATGATCGTGCCATTACTGCTCAAGCAGAGAGCTTTGAGATGGTAGAACAGAAGCTTTCCGAAGCTCTAGGTACTCTTACTGCCTATTACAGGGAAAACCAGCTGATCCCCAACCCATCTAAAACACAGACATGTGCCTTTCATCTCAAGAACAGAGAAGCATCCCGAGCTCTGAAGATCACCTGGGAAGGAATCCCACTGGAGCATTGCAGCGCACCCAAATACCTGGGAGTCACTCTGGACCGTGCTCTTACCTACAAGAAGCACTGCCTGAACATCAAGCAAAAAGTGGGTGCTAGAAACAATATCATACGAAAGCTGACTGGCACAACCTGGGGATCACAACCAGATACAGTGAAGACATCCGCCCTTGCGCTGTGCTACTCTGCTGCTGAGTATGCATGCCCAGTGTGGAACACATCTCACCACACTAAAACAGTGGATGTGGCTCTTAATGAGACATGCCGCATTATCACGGGTGTCTGCGCCCTACACCACTGGAGAAATTACACTGCTTAGCCGGTATTGCACCACCTGACATCCGCCGGGAAGTAGCAGCCAATAGTGAAAGGACCAAGGCAGAGACATCTCCAGCTCATCCCCTGTTTGGGTATCAGCCAGCACGTCAACAACTTAAATCTAGAAATAGTTTTCTAAGATCTACAGAGACACTCGCTGGAACACCTCAGCAAGCAAGAGTCCAAAAGTGGCAGGCTCAAACCCAGAACCTCAACCAATGGCTGATACCAAATGAGAGACTCCCCCTGGGCACACAGAGGACTGGGCGACTTGGAAGGCGCTGAACAGACTGCGCTCTGGCACCACGAGATGCAGAGCCAACCTTCAGAAATGGGGCTACAAAGTGGAATCCTCGACATGCGAGTGCGGAGAGGAGCAAACCACTGACCACCTGCTGCAATGCAACCCGAGCCCTGCCACATGCACAATGGAGGACCTTCTTGCAGCAATACCAGAGGCACTCCAAGTGGCCAGATACTGGTCAAAGGACATTTAATCAACTACCATACTCACAAATTCTGTATTTTGTCTGTTTGTTTACTTTGTTCTGTTAGAAATGTAATATAATTGACTGGTTGCCCTGACACGACAAATAAATAGCCGCCTTGAGTCCCCCTTGGGGTAGAGAAAGGCAGAGTAGAAATAGGGTAAATAAATAAATAAATAAATAAAATGTCTATAGGATGGGATCTTCTACAACTGCTGCTTTTGTTATATCTAGCAAGACCCTGCCGGGTGCTTTACAGAAAAAGAAGCGCTTTCCAATGATTTGTAGCTTAAGTAAAATAATATTAAGCCAATGTCTGGCTTTGTCCTAATCTGTGTCTTAAGTCCTCATCTGTAAAATACAAGATTGTCAGCCTTTGATCTGGTTTTGGTGAAGCTCTGCATGCGAAGCCCGTCATTCAGCTTTAGAATCATTGAATCTAGATTGTGTATGTTGATTTCACTAAATAAATCTCTAAAGTGGCTTAAATTATATTCATAGTCTCCTGTAGTCTCAGAATATCTACTTTTCAATACAATCCTTCACACAGAGGTTGTGCTTTTACAAGACCTTTATCCATGATGACAGAGGGTGTGTCTACACTAGGAATGGGCAAACTTGGGCCCTCCAGGTGTTTTGGACTTCAACTCCCACAATTCCTAACAGCCTCAGACCCTTTCCTTTTCCCCCTCAGCCGCTTAAGCGGCTGAGGGAGCAAAGGAAAGGTCCTGAAGCTGTTAGGAATTGTGGGAGTTGAAGTCCAAAACACCTGGAGGGCCCAAGTTTGCCCGTGACTGATCTACACTGTGGCATTAATGCACTTTGACACCACTTTGACAGCTCAATGTTACTATGAGAGTTGTAGTTTCACAAAATCTTCCACCTCCTCTACCAAAGAGTGATGGGGCCTCACCAAACTTCAACTCCCAGGATCCCACAGCATAAGGTGGTTTCAAACTGCGTTAATTCTACAGTGCAGAACTCCCCCCCCCCCCCCCCCCCCCAAAGAAAGCCCTCTTCACATACTGGCCCCCTTGTATAACCACAGGACCAGGGTCCACACAACGACTCGGACTACGGGACAAGACATGAAGCCGGGTTCAAGGCCCCGCTGGGCGGCTCCAGAGCGCCGGAAGGCGTCCCGTTTCTGTCGCCATGGCAACGAGAGGCACCCTGGGCCAAGTTCCACCCCTTGGTTGCTAGGCGCCTCCTGCAGCTCCTTCGTGACGTCACCGCCCTGGAACTCCCTCCCTTCCCAGGGTTCGCCTAGAAAGCGCAGCGCACGCCGTGACTGAAAATGAGCCTCGGTGGCCACCGTTCGCAAGTTTTGTGTACGTCACTGTTATGCGGCGGTTTACAGGGACTTTGTTGCTTTTGTCGCTTCGCTGCTTCACTCAAGATCGAGAAGAAGGTGGTTTCACTTCAAAGCTAATTTAAGGATACTCTTTGAGTTCTGTGGAAGGGAGGGAGGGAGGGAGGGAGGGAGGGAGGGAGGAAGGAAGGAAGGAAGGAAGGAAGGAAGGAAGGAAGGAAGGAAGGAAGGCGATATCGGCCAGAGGGCTTGTTTCTTCCCTCCTCGGTTTTATCCCTCGCTTGTCGCTACTATGAAGCCCCCGTCGAGGCGGCGCTCTGCTCCTGCTCGCTACGACCTAGGCCTCACCGCTCAGGTTTGGACCGACCGAGAAAAGCGACGCTTGCTTCGGGCTTTGAGAGCCCAAGCTCAAGCACCGGGTCCCTTGCGGCCGGAGCTGCTGAAGAAGTACTTGCCTTCAAGGAGTGAAGCCGAGGTGAGTGGAGACTTCCTTAGGGTGCATCCACTCTGCAGCATTAATACAATTTGACAACACATTACTATGAGATCCTCGAAGTTTATTATTTATTTGGGGTTCTTATACCCCGCCCTTCTCACCCCGGAGGGGGACTCAGGGCGGCTTACAAAAGCAAAGGCACAATTCGATGCCTGCATCATAAAACAATCATACACAAAATACACAAAATTACATCAGAACACAGTTAACAACAATTCATACATTATTAACATAAAATTATTAACATAAAATCAATAAAAACCAATACAAACCCAAGTTGTAGTTTGTGTGTGTGTGTGTGTGAGAAACTTCAAGTCGCTTCTGGTGTGAGAGAATTGGCCGCCTGCAAGGATGTTGCCCAGGGACGCCCAGATGTTTATTTATTTATTTACTAGCCGTCCCCTGTCACGCGTTGCTGAGGCCCAGTCTGGTGATCATGGGAGTCCTCTGTGCCACATTTGGTTCAATTCCATCATTGGTGGAGTTCGGAATGCTCTTTGATTGTAGGTGTACTATAAATCCCAGCAACTACAACTCATTACATTACATTACAGCTGTGCTCCTGGGACAAAGGACTCTTGTCTGCTGGAGCTAAGTGTGAATGTTTCAACTGACCACCTTGATTAACATATAATGGCCTGACTGTGCCTAGAGCACAGGCAACAACAGCACAACAACAGAGAGGAAACAAACAAGGACATGTAATCACCTCTCAACAAAAGATTGATCCAGGCACTGCCAGGCAATCAAATGCTAATCAAGGTGGTCAGTTGAAACATTCACACCTAGCTCCAGCAGACAAGAGTCCTTTGTCTCACTCTGGTCTTTCCACAGATATATAAACCCTTTTTCCTAGTTCCAACAGACCTCACTACCTCTGAGGATGCTTGCCATAGATGCAGGCAAAACATCAGGAGAGAATGCCTCTAGACCGTTTATTTACGACATTTATGTTTTGATGTTTTACCATCCTTGTGGGAGGCTTCTCTCATCTCCCCACATGCGGAGCCAGAGCTGAGAGAGGGGAGCTCATCCGCACTCACTGGATTTGAACCTGCGACCTGTCCATCTTCAGTCCTGCCGGCACAAGGGTTTAACCCATTGCGCCACCGGGGGCTTCCATGAGGCCATAGCTTTGAGCTGTGGGAGTTAAAGTGGTGGCCAACTGCATTAATGCTACTGTGAGGTTGCAATGATGGAGGATGGGGCTCGCTTTTGGATAAGCTGAGAGTAACTATTGAGATTGAAATACTCTGAAATCCAAAATTGTCCACATGAGGGGCTGAGATAGAACACCTTTGCTCTCTGGTAATTCAGTGTACACAAACCTGGTTTCATGTACAACTTTATTTAAAATGTGTATAAAATTGCCTTCTGGTTACATGTGTATGAAATGTAAATTAAGTGTTCATGTTTGGACTCAGATCCCATATGCAAGATGTCTCATTATGCACCAGTAAACATTTCAAAATTCCAAATACTTCTGGGCCCCAGCATTTCAATTAAGGGATTTTTAACCTGTACCAGTAAAAAAGCCCATTTGCCAGATTTGACTAAGGCCCCATCTACACTGACCATTTAATGCATTTGGAAACAAGCATCAAATTGTTGTGGGCAGACAATAAAGTCCTGCAAAAAAACCCATCAAGCCCATTTAGGCCTTGAACTGGTTCCAGGCTTTCCTGTGGAATCATCTGCACAGTGAAATGGCGTTATTCAATGCCAGTTTGAAACTACATTAAATGGTCAGTGTGATAAGGCCTTAGCCACAAAGTGTGTTGGGAAATATTTATTTATCAGAAGCAAACAGAGGGTTATAATGTATTTTTTAAAAAAGGTTTTAAAAACTTGACATTCTACTAAATGTCCTTTGACCAGTAGCTGGCCACTTGGAGTGCTTCTGGTGTTGCTGTAAGAAGGTCCTCCATTGTGCATGTGGCAGGGCTCAGATTGCATTGTAATAGGTGTGTCTATGGTTTGCTCTTCTCCCCACTCGCATGTCGTGGACTCCAGCTTTTGAATTCTCCAGTCTGGATGTTAATCAAAGCAGGGTGATGGGAGTTAGGGAGCAAAACTGGCTTGATTGAATAGTCATGAAATTTGCCTAGTTCAGTCTTGAATATTGTAGACAAAGATTGGAGATTTAGTTGGATTATAATCTCAGGTGCTGTTTACAGCTTGACTGAATTTGGAAATGCTAGCATAAACAAACATCCAGAAGAGTGGAGTCTTATTCTTGAAAAACATGTAATTAAGTAGTTGGCCTGATGTCCCCACCTTTAAATAAAACATGTTTTCTGTTAACCAAAGAAGCCTCTTCCAAAGTGTTATGGAAGCATTATAGTTTTCCGTAAGGTAAGACCTTTCCGAAAATACTGCACATACTGTGTTTAAAAAGTGCTGCTATTGCAGATCATGGAGTTTGTGGATCTACTGAAAGAGCGTGTGGCAAAAGAAGCCGTCAAGGCAGAATATCGACACCGCCAGCGTAAACAGAAGGATGCCCCTATTCCAGCACCTATTGAGGTACAAAAGGGGTAACTTTGGGTAAGGAATTATGGCATGTGATAGACTAAAAGATAATCATATCCATTTCATGGATTTCTTTCTAGGTGTGGACTGAGTTGGCGGAAAAAATGACAGGATGCCTTGAAGATGCTGTAACAGCTGCTTTTTCCCAGGTAAAAATTGTGCATCTTCTGTGACCTTATTAAAATTGATAGTAAATGATAATGTAATTTGGGCAATCAATACATCTGTGCCAACTCTGTCACTGTATATTTCGTCCACTTAGTCTTACCATACCAGCCACTGTGCCTCTTTCATGAAAAGATGTAACAGTTGGAAATGTGCTGTGATTCCTAAGGAAAAAAAATCAGGAATATACTAACTGCTTGGAACTGGTAGTACCCTTTGTACAGCAATGTGTTTACTGTTCTCTTATCCATGAGTACATATACCTCTATTCCATTTATTTATTGAATACTCACTGGTATCCAACTCTCTACTTGTTAGGTTTTGACGATTGCATCTACTGAGCCACTCTGCTTACTCCATTCTGTGCCCCCAAAGCCTGTGGAAGTTAAAACCACTAGATGTTCATCACCAACTGTTCATAACAAGAATAAATCAAATGAAAAAGCTCAGGAAGCAGTTGTATCATCAAATGGAGAATTAACCCCTGTGGAAAATAGTGAATTTCAGGTAGACTTCGAAAAGATTTACAAGTATCTCTCAGTGATCTCACGTGGATCTAAAGCACCAGAACTTCCACCAGGTGGTAAGTTAAGGATTTTCTAGTCATGAGTGGGGGAAAATGGGTGCTATTTGTTATTATTGGACTTCAAGTAGAATCAGCCTAGGACACATTTGTGGGTATAACTTTTACAGATTTGATTAATACATTATTTCTCAAAGTTTTCTAACATGACCCTACATATGCCAAGGTTTTACAGGAAGTTGTTCCTAGAGAGGTGTTCTTGCAAACAAACACAAAACCAGAATTGTTATCTATGTTTATTCCATTTTCATGGGGAACCTGTGCTTCTAAACCCAACAAACGTGGATGGCTTACTGTATATTGAAAATTATACCAAATCTCTTAAATCCTATTTTTAAAATGTTTAGTATTTGATATGGAAGAAATACACCACTGTTTTGTGACAACTACCTACAGAGCACTTGAAAGGAAACAAAACCTGAGAAGCTATGGCTAAGTATTACCTTTTTTTGGCCAGATGATAAGTATCTACCTAACATCTCTCCCATGTTTTGTTTGTTTTCTATAGAATCAGCTGTGCTCCTAGACTTGTTACTATCACTACCAGAAGAGTTGAAGTGTCTGGATTTTAAAAAATTGAAGAGTCATATGTTCAAATGCTATAGAGAGTTAAATGCATGCTACACAGGCAAGAAAAACAGAACACAAACAGGGTCCAGCCAGTCTGTAAACAGTGGCAGAGGCCAACATGATATACTTTTCCATATCCACCCAGACAGCAGCTACTTCCAACAAGAGGGTGCTAGTTCTCTTGCTTCTTCCAAAGACGATAAAGCACCATCATCTGCAATCAACTGGAAAACTCTGGGGATCTGTCCTTTGAATTCATTTATGTTCCCATTGGATCTTTTGACATGTAAAGGAGATGCTGTTGAGTGAAGGGAACTCCATTCTGTGCTACCATGTGCCTTCAACAGACTTTTCACAGGTGTTCTGAAAAATATTTATTACTGCAAGGACCAGGCTTAGCCTACTTGTTTTAGCTGTTATGGGAGCATTGGATTCAACTAGCATGTCCTGCATTTTACACCCTTGTTTAATGTTAATAAACACAGTTCAGTCATATCCTAATGTTTTACTTCTATTTATTTTACCAGTTCTTGTCAATTGGAAAATCCTATCTAGAGGTTTGGCACTGATAGTGATGTTGAGGTTGTCTGTTAGCTCATTTGTAGTTAGTGATCTTATAACAGGATTAGGAATTTTATGTAGCTTTTCTTATACTAGGCATCAGAAAGATCTGTCATGCCAAAATGTGTAACACTGCTAATGAGTTCTAGCAAAATATTGTCTAGCTGAACTAATCTTATAATTGTTACAATCTGAACTGAAGAATGCAATTACTTTCAAAAATTCTTACCATCCTAAATGCAAGATAAATTCATCACATGATATTCAGATGTAAATTATAATTTATTAAGCAGATGTGTTCAACACACCATCCCAGTGGTATTTACAGGGAGGAGGGAATACACATTTAGTAACACCACACAATAATTAAATTGACAGATTGTTCCAAATGAATTATTCAGATTTAGAGAAGTACACTGAATTTGTTTCACTCATATGATTTTGTTGACAAGCAGTACAGATTCAAGCACTTAAAGAGTGCAGGGCTTAATTAGTGAGAGAGCTAGCATGATTACTTTCAAGCTTTGTGATACACAGAGTCCAGAAAAATAATCTGTTGTTTTGCTGCTCTGACTTCAATAAGTGCTGCTACTTGGTCAATTCTCTGCCTCAGTAATTTTCTGATAACTTCTGATACTTTTTTAAAAAGCACTTCATTAATGTTAAAAACCATATATACAACAATGACATTACTTAAATCCAGACATAGTAGCAAAATGATAGATATTCTACACAAGGGCTTCAAGTAAGTTAAAACGTCCACTTCCATCCCAGTAAAAAAAGTTCTTAAGAGTTCATATCTTGAATTATGACAGATGATTTATGTCCCACTTCTCTTCACTGCTAGAGAAGAAAGATGTCAGTGCTAGCATGTTCTACTTATAGAACTTAGAATGTACATATTGATGATCAGTGGTTTCCAAAATATCATTTTTGCCTATTTAATAAAGAGGACAAAGAGCAATAAAATGTCCAGGATTTTTAGCAGACAGTTCAGGTGCCTTCTATGTTTTCTTTGTCAGCTTGAATGCAAAACTTTAGAGTAGCCTAGAAATAAAAAGAAATTATGTACATCAGATCACATACTGTATAATCCTTAAATCAAAAAAGCATTTAGGCATTTAGAAGGAACACTGAGATTTCAGTAGTACTACTTTATTTCTTGAAATGTTGGCCTGTGTTTTACTTCACTTTTCAAAATATGTAGGAAAATAATTTCTGCAAACAGATTCCTTTCAAGAACATGTGGCATTTCATGTGATGGCCAAATACTTGACTACAATGCCATTATTCATTTGGGAGCATATTTCTAATCTATAATAAGTATCTTCCCCTGTCCCCATCCCATAATGGTTAGAACAGCTTGATGACAGATTATCACATTACCTGAGTTAAAAATTTGTCTTTTCGTAATTGCTTGTAGAACTGCAAAACATAAGGGTTGGCTCTCACTACCTTAGGATCAAAATCCAGAACACGAAGACCCATAAGATTGCGTGCTCGGGAAAGTGCTACATAAGCCTGGCCATATTCAAAAACACGGGCCAGGGAGACCTCAGCACAATCCAGAGACATTCCCTGGAAAAGCAAGAAATCATCAGTAAGGGAGTTATCATTGAAACAGGCCAGAAAAATGACTCAATGCAATAGAAACAGTAAAAAAAACCCACTTAGAGAGTATATTTAAGGCATATTGCAATTTAACTATACTTTAATATGATATAATTGCTTATTGGGCAGTTGCAGTTCTAACTATTGCCTTTCTTTATCAATCTCTTTCAACACACTGTATGTGCACCTAAAATTCCAGATAACCTTTTTATGCCTCTGGTGAAATGGCCTACAATTAGTGAAAGCTCATACATAGTACAGTATAATACAGTAGACGCTCAATTAACCGAAACACTCAAGCAATCAGCAATTTAAAAAAAAAAAACTAAAATCGCATCTTGGATTCACAAGACTGCTTCTTTGCTTGTAGCCCAATCTATCGCTGAATGCAGCCTGTGATACATTTTCTGAAATTGAATCCAGCACTCACTCAATGTATTTCACTAACCTGGCTCTTGTGGATAGAAATGGCCCAGGCTAGTTTCAGGGGCAACTGTTGGCGACTCAAATATGTCCCTGCTGGACCCTTTAAAAGCCATCGTTCCATCCCAACAACGTTTGTGATGCCACACAGAAACCTCACTTTTGGTAGCCCTGTAAGGAAAAAAAATAGCATCCCCAACTATCAAATTTCTTGGGGAACATATTCCAAGTAATTCCTGCATTCCTCCACTTGAAATTGGACTACATTAAGCTAGGATCTCCATAGAATAGCAGCCCAATGACAGTAAAAATAGAACACTTAATGAAGACACAACCTTTTTTGGTAGCTGTGTCCCAATATAGAGAAAGTGTCAACCATTCCATCTTTGCATGTAGGAAGAATACAGACAGTATTTTTCTCCTACTGCAGGAGAAAATTAACATTCCTCCCCACATAGAATAGCGGCCCAATGACAGTAAAATAGAATAATGAAGAAACAACCTTTTTTGGTAGCTGTGTCCCAATATAGGGAATTAAAGTATCAACTATTCTATCCTTGCATGTAAGAAGAATACAGATAGGATTTTTCTCCTACTTCAAGAGAAAATTAAAATTCCTCCCCACTATTCTCTCAGTAGTCTACCATCTTGAAATGTAATGAAGGAATTCTTACGGGAAGGTAAGGGGTTGTGCAAAAAATATATATTTAAGCAGGGTGTTAAGTACCAGGAGACAGTTCAGATACTAGTAGACATCAATTACTCAGAGAGTACTCGGAAGTATGCTTGTTGAAAAGAAACCAACCTCTTCCTTCTGTCTCAAATCCAATCACAACTCCACGGGCCCCATTCACCAGACCCCGGGACACATCAAGGTTCTTAGTAAGCATCACCTGGTGAAAGAAATGTAGAGGTCACAAAAGGAGAAGATACTCACCAGCCATGGCTTTTCTAAAACTGCAACTAAGCGCAGTGTCCATTTTTCATCCTCCAGAATTCTTGGTGTAGGGTAAATATCTTGGTCGAGGAACTCAGTTATTTGAATGCAACTATTATATATTTGGATGAAACTTATGTGGCATTTGTAAATTGTAACTCCCAGAGCCTCCCACAGGAATGTAAAGAAGTATGATGTTTGGCTTGAAAAGAGAAGTTCATTTTCAGAAGGTGAAAGAGTTTCTATCCACTTAGCTAACATTTTAAACTGTCAATGTCAGTGTAGCCCATAACTCCATACCAGGAGGCTATAAGATAGAGTGGGGAACTAGACAATTTGGACTTCAAATCCCACTATTTATAGCAAGGCCCATGCATGATAAAGAACTGTGGGAGTTTTAGCCTGGTGGTTGCCATCAACATATCTGAGAAACAGGAACCAATATTAGTTGGAGAGAGGAACTGGTACTACTCAGTATGGAGCACATATAAAGCTCTAACATTCTGAACTGGTCAAGAATTATGTGTATGTATAGTTTCAGCTTTATCATGTAACAAGTGCATGTTATAGAAGCCAACATTTAGCTTGCCTGCTCTCATTTGATTCAATCAGCATTTGTATGTTAACACATGATGCCATTATACTCCATACCATGACATGCTTCTCTTTAAATATTATTGTGAGAAAGAGATATACAATGTTAGGACAAAATAAAGAAATGAACTTTTTTGAGTACAACCAAATTTTGCTGCCAACTTAAAACACTACATCTAACTCCGGCAGAACATAATGGTATTTGCTCACCTGAGCACCTTGCTTGAGCTCAATAACACTGTTCACAGGACACTGTGCATCAATGGTTTTCACTGATGATGGATCACTATCCACTGCTTTAAAGGATCTTTGCTCTCCTAGAAAAGATAGACTTAAATGTAAGAATCTACAATGCTTTGAGTCCAGGGATGGAACTGTTGTTGTTCTGTGGACCCAACTACACTAACTAAAATAGTCAATGATGAGAAGTTGTGGGAGTTTCAGCCCAGTGATATTTGAAAAACAACACTCGCCTACCCCAACTTACTATTTAGTATACAAACTTGATAATTTGGTAATTAATTAAACCCTTTGTAACATTTTGTGTAATTTTATCATATTGCCATTGTGAAATATATTGCTCAGAAACTGGGTCCATCACTTTGAAACACCCTGTATTTTGAAAATACGGCTTCCCAAACTTTGTCCTAATACTGAGTTATCTGTAGAGAACTATAACTTTTTAGAGTCTCGGGTAAAAATGAGCTCCACAATAGACTCTTCATGGCACTTCTGAAGCATAAAGCTATAACTTTACAGAATTCCAAAGGTTAATTATTGTTAACTGCCTTCACATCAACTTAAACTTATGAAAATATGAATGACAGACCTCTTGCAGATTCAGGGCCATGGATTCCTTGATTGAGTTTATCCATCTGGAATATGGTCTTCCTCTTTTCTTGCAGGCCTTCACTTTTCTTTTCTACTGAGCCATCTCTTGTCGTGATATGCCCAAAGCATGATAGCCTCAGATCTCAATTTAGTCATTTTGTATGATATCACATATCCCCAATTCCTTTGGGTGGCAAATCAGAGCTACTTCTTTCTCCCCTTTGCCTCTGCTGAATCTAAGAATAATCTCAGATTACCCTATGGAGAACTGATGAAGGAATCCAGGACAATCCCTCTACTACTGGTAAAGAGCATTGGCTGTTTCTATGCTATTAGAATCAGGCTTTTATATTATTGCCTTGCTCTGAGAGAAAAAGGCATAGAACATGGCTCCCATCCTTTGCAAGTCCTTTCACAGTACAAAGTCCCTCCCCCACCTCATCTTTTGAAGGAAAAGTATATTCTCTTCCCATAGAAACATTCTCACCAGTTAACTCCTGTAACTGCCTAGCGTTTGTGAGCTCTACATCCTCCTTGTGGGTACACAACCGGGTGGCCAGGATCCCATCTCTCTCCACCTTGTGTGTTGCTATTAGAGTCAACTGCCTGGTGACTTCTTCTGTGCATCTAGCAGGCAGCCCAAGAAAATTTAAAAATCAAGAGAACACAAAGATATTGGTCAGAAACATTGGATTACCTACATGTTTTGTACATCTCAAGGTGCTTGGCAAAGATAGCTTAATGAAAGCTTGGGCAAAATGCAACTCAAAGGTCACATATGACAGCTAGATAGTTTTGTGTCCCATCTGTTTTTTCACAATGAATTTCTTTTTGCATCAAATGGCTTAAAGTACCTGTATATGGTGTTAGACAGCCAAGCCTCGATAAGATGGAAATCAACATTAATTGAACAGGAATAACTAGATCTACTCAGTGTAGATTAGGCGTGAGCAAACTTGGGCCCTCCAGGTGTTTTGGACTTCAACTCCCACAATTCCTAAAAGCTGGTAGGCTGTTAGGAATTGTGGGAGTTGAAGTCCAAAACAACTGGAGGGCCGAAGTTTGTCCATGCCTGGTGTAGATTGCCTACAAGGAGTGTGTAAAACTGCTGCTCACACATTCTGAACTACAATCACCACTTATATGAAAATACAGTTATAGCTTTCAGGCTGATTGCAGAAGTAGTACTTCTACAATCAGGTCTGAGTCCCTCTACGGAGGTAGAGAAGATCGGGATACAAAAGTTTTAAATAATAAATAAATAAATATAAGCCAGCCATTTAGCTGACATAAGTGAAGGGTTAGTTAATGAGTGGACTGACTGTTTCAACTCATTTCCGGATGGAAAATGCAGGACTATTTTAGTTGTGTGGGCTTGTTTTTTAGAGGACTGCATTTTCAATTTTGACTTCTAGTCAACCCCCCCCCCCAAAAAAAAAACAAAAAACAAACATGATTTCTTGTTACTGCCAATTTTGAAAAAAAAAAGATTTTGAAAACTGGCCTAAATCAGAGAAGTGGTAAATGAAAAGGGGTTGCAGCAAGGAACAAAATAGTTGACTCATTGTGCTCACCAGAGGCTAGTCTGTGCTCACTATTGACAAAATCTTCATTCATCAGCATTCAGTGTAAAGCCAATGAGAGGAAGAAAAAGTGGTCCGGTAATTTTACACTGAGAAAACAACCCCCCCCCTCCCCCTGCTTCTCCAAGCCTCTTGTAAAGCAGGAGATGGATCTCACCTGCCAAGACGGATCTCATTTAGAAGAGATATGAACTCTCTGTCTGTCTGTCTCCGTACTTCTGTCAACTCCATATTCAAGTGGATACACCTCCTCCAGCTCTTTGCCTGTGAGAGAAAGCTCCTGGTTTGAAATTTAAATCAGCTGAAGGCAAAGTATATCATGAGACAGAAACAGCAGAATACCTGGAAGCAGAACCTGGGCTTCTCAGTGGCTTTGCTGACTGGAGGCAGCTGCAAGAAATCACCACAGATAATGAGCTGGATTCCTCCAAATGGATCCTCACATTTCCTTACATCTCTATAAAAAAAAAAAGCAGAGGAAATAGGCATAACTTTTAGTTGCTGGTTCTACCCTGGTTTTTGTGAATAGCACACAGTATATTCTATAACCAACTACAGCAGCAAAGAAACATGCTTATTTCCAGAGGCTTATTTTGTTGTGAACTTTACAATGTGTATAATGCCCTAGACTGAGAGACATTATACAGCACAGTCCTGATGGCCAGTACGCTTACATTCCAATCGGCAATTCACATTTTTCACACACTTAAATGGAAATTTCTGTGCAATTAAAGCTTGCCATAAACTATAAAGCATTTTAGTGTGCTACGATGTATTTGGAGGCAGTGGTGGAAGTCTATAGAGACTGGATAAGTCAGGTTTTAGATCATCCCTTCCAGAATCCTGGCTGGCCATGCTCTCAAAAGTCACTTTTGCAAACTCTGATAAAAAAAGGAACAGAGGAGAAAGGGAGTGTTTTTACTTGAATGTTTTTTAATACAACACCTATCAACTCCCAACCACCATGACAGCTGGTCATAATGACAGGAAAATTCTAGATTTTAATTTAATCTAACGGAAAAGTAACTTGCAAGCTTAGCTTTCTCCAATGAGTAACCAAACACATAAGCTGTATCGAGAACCTGCTTAGGCAACAATTATGGTGACTCTTCACAGAATCATACAGTTGAAAAGGACACCAAGCTACATGCAGGACCCTTACAGATAGGCCTCAAAATGTGGGATCTGCTGGGCTTTAACTGGAAGCATCCAAACAATGCCTCTGGTAAAAGCTAATAAATTCAGAATAACCATGGTTATTCCAAATTAATTAAATATCCATTTCCTGCGCCCTCCCCCCATCTTCTAGTGTGTCATTTCTAGACTCCAAGACTGACGTAATGGTGGCCTGGTAAGTGTTTTTAGTTTTTAGGGCAGTTTGGGGGGGGGGGGGGGGGGGTGGGGGGGGCATGCCATCCCAGATGGCATGAGGACAACTCACCAGGAAAGCCCGCTTTGGGGGGGGGGTGTATTTAAACCAGATTCTGTATAGGTTTAAACCATGTCTTGAAGTGAACTCAGTCTAACCCAACATCACTGTAGGAATCCACTACTGAAATACCCTTGCAAGACTGATGTCCAATCTTTGATTAAAATTCTCCTGTGAAACAGATATTGTGTTTTGCCCTGTTAATATCTCAAATCCCAAACACAAAGGATTTTTTTACCAGAGACAAGCATAACCTTTTACGCACCTAGCCACTGCTTCCAGTTTATCAAAAAAATCACCCTCCACCATAGAGATCTCATCAATGATCAGACGGCGACAGTTTAGCCATTGCTGCCGAACCCCAGGCCTTTGAGCCAGCTCAATACACTGCGATAGGGGAGCTTTTCCTGAGCCAATTCCTGTAACAAGAGTGAGGAAATATGTCAGTAGCATCCCACCAGCAGAGCTCCAGAAAACCTGGGATTCTTGAAAAGGTAGTTCAAAAATTAACTCCCCAAACAATACCCATTAGTAGGTTTTTTCTTTCCTTCCTCACCAGTTATCTCCATCCCCAATACCTGCAAAGCCATGGAGAGTGGTGCCTCCGATCTGGCAGGCTGCTACTCCTGTGCTGGCAGTAGCATATGTGCCATTTGGTGGCAGCGAGGCAATGATCTTTTTTAGCAGATAGGATTTTCCAGTACCTATGGAAAGAGGTTTCGCTTTAGAGATATCCTAAAACAGCCCACCCCACCCTCAATGTCACTTCTATGATCCATTGACAAATTCGTATCAAATCAGAATCATATAAATAGCAATTAGCACATGCAAATCCTCTGAAATTTAGGCTGTGGCTGTGGGACAATTTAAAGTGGCAAATCCAATGTAATTTTGTTGTACTATTTCTAAGTGTGCTAAGACTTGCATTCAGGGAGAACTTCGCTCCACACCACCAAGAAATATCCACCAAGGAAGTTTTTGTCTAAACTGGATGACTATTATGCAATGTACAAATAGTATAATCTATTTCTTGCAATCTGTAAACTTTCTCGAGTTCTGGCTTTGAGAGGAATGACATTCTATAAAGATAGTCCTCATTTCCCATGCAAAAGAAATGTGAAGAACAAATGCTTTTGCTTTAAGCCCGAAGACTGACCAGCAAAAGGGTCAATGCAAATGTAAGTAAGGGGTTGCATGTCAAAACAACTCCTTGATTTGAGATTGCAATCCTAAAATCTAAAATCTAGGGATTACCTGGTGATGTTACTAGAGGCAATTCCAGAAGATGTCACTAAGTATACCATATTAAGCATTAGGTGCAATTGTACAGCATATTCATAAAAGAATCCCCAAATGTAACAAATGGGGAAATATACAGGCATCTGCATATACACCTACATTATTTTTAAGGCAACACTCTCACTCTGAGATTCCTCCCCTTGCCCCAAAAAACACGAGACAGGCCCTGATATCTGGAAACCCTAATGGGAACACATGCAAATCCTCCTTGGCTCTCTTCTCTTACCAGCACTGCCTGTGAAAAAGACATTCTTCCCACTCAGCACCGCATTTAGCACCATTGACTGCTCTTGGGACAGTGTCACTCGGGAGCCCATTGACCAAGGCTTCTTCACCTGCCGTGTTTCAGCCACCTGAAGGGAAGTTCCACACAGTGACTCTCCAAGGTACAGGTCAAAATCCACATTATGATCCCAATATCAAGAACTAGTAAACATACATGTCAAGGATGTGGCTTCCTAAACAGCACCCTTTCCTTAGAAACTTGTCGGAGAGATCATTTCTGAAGAGCCAGAGATCATCCTATAGCAGAATCCCCCAAGGACAGTCCAGAAATGTCTGCAGCATCTCTTTAAAACATTGTGGTCAGGACACAAAAAGATCTTTTATACTGCCAACAGGGTTTCAGTTGCCCATTCAAAACCAAGCCACCTTGGGATACAACAGGCATAGCTCGAAAGAATATACAAAGCAAAAAAAAAAAGAAAGAAAGAAAGAAAGAAAGAAAGAAAGAAAGAAAGAAAGAAAAGACAGGGTATTAATTAATAAGAACACTGAAACCATCTTAAAAATTAAAGTCTCACTAGAGCCAGAAGCCCTTCTGCTGGGACATATGTATTCAAGACTGCCACAAAAAGAAAAAGAAAAAACCTCTTTTATACCTGGTAAATGCAGGAAGGATTGTTTATGCTTATTATTGGAAACAAGAAGAAATTTCCACCCAAGATTTATGGATTACAAAAATTTTGGACATAGCAAAGACGGACAAACTAACTATGCTGATTACAATTACCAGATCCTTCCAAATTTGAAGAAGAATGGCAGCCCTTAATTGACTATTTAAAAGAAGAAAAGAAAATGTTGGAGGAAGGAACCTTCTCAAGCCTCCTCTAGTTGATGTTTGTCTGTTTTGTAATGTGTCATTTTATAACCTGAAGTATGTCTTATTTGATTTGTAGTTTCCTTATCTCTATATACCAAAAACAGTGGTATATGACATTTGGTTAATGGTTGACTCATAAATATATGGCAAAGGAAAGGAAAAGATACTTGTTCAGGCCTTGTTGGTGGGGGATTATGTGTTTGTTAAATGTTCATTGATTCATGTTCTATTTACACTGTAAGTTCTTAATGTATGTAAATAAAAATTTAAAAATTATTTTTTTAATGTCATTGCTCATTGCTATGGAGTAATGGGAGTTATAGTTTTACAAGGTCTAACACTCTCTGCCAAATAGTTCCACAAACAACTGCTCACCTGATTATGTAATATTGAGCCATGGTAGCTAAAGTGGTCAAAATGCATGGATTCTACACTTGCTGACCTGATTCTTGTCCTCCGATTCAATCCGGGCACGCTTCCTAGCAGCACAGCGGCCTTGGTCCCGGCCTTTCACTGGCGTGGCTATCTCAGCCAGGGCTCGCCGGGCACTACTAGCTTGCTGCAGATCTCGGACTTGCACTGGACTTATGGTGTCGAAGCTCCGTGGCAGGCCAGAGAGGAGCCTCTTCCGCTCAGTCACAGGTCTTTCCTGTGTGGCTTCTAGTTTGATGCGCAGCATGTGGACGAAGCGTCGCAACTGATCCGGAGGGCAGTTCGAGAGCAGCAGCTGCACATGGTTGAGCCCAGCAGCTGGGCCCACCCTGATGGAGCTCTTTCCATCCTTCATGAAGCGGGTAAACAGTCGGACTTCATCCCGTCGCAGGGGGAAGTTCTGGGGAGGGCTTGGACCGCTGGTGGTAGAGACTCGCAAGACCATTGTTCGGAATTCGTCCCGACCAAGTGTCACCAATGCGTCACGGAGAAGCACCCGGCTTGGGCCTGTGGCACCTAGGCGCTCAATTGCTACCATGCAATGGATCTGCCCACCCACTTCAGAGGCCAACTGCATCCTGAATAAGAACCAGAAGTCAAATAATAATAATAACAATAATAACAACAACAACACTACGTAACATTATTTTTGTTCCTGGGTTATAAATGTCATTTCCTCATTGCTTCTATCATAAAAACATAGAAAAGGTTTATTAACCTGCCAAACTTTGTTTTTGCGGGACATCCTACAGCACATTTTGCTATAGTTTTTCAGTGAATATCTCATAAAGTCTCAACCAATTCAACATAGTTTGTGGCAGCCACAAAAACAAAGTTTCTGGTATTTAACAACTACTTTCAAAGTAAGTACCACACAATTAAACAGGGAATAACACTTTAAAACCAGGAACAGATTTTTTTTAAAAAAATTGTTACATAATGTTATAATATTTCAAAAAGATGGGCCCAGTTTCAAGCATTTACAGTCAGCTCTCAGCTAACTGGAGCCAATATGTATTGGTAGATTGTTATTATTATGTTTATTTACATCCTTTTTTTCTCCATAAGGAGATTCAAAGCAGCTAACATTAAAAGCATTACAATACAATTTAAAATATACAAATATCCAAATATCAAGTAAACATAATTAGTATTAAAATACAGATTAAATCCATTAAAAATTAAAAACCACTACAAATAAATGAAGTTTGTGGTTGCTTGAGAGTCACTAGTAAAACTAGCCCTCGCTAATATTACAACCCAGTGATGGGTACACTTCGGGCCTCCAGGTTGTTCCTACCGGCTGTTAGTAATTGTGGAGGTTGAAGTCCATACACCTGGAGGCCTAAAGTTTGCCCATGCCTGTTATAACCCATACTATCAATGCTGTGTTGACTTGATATTAATATTGAAATACAGCAATTAAAAGCAAGTAAAGACAAGTAAAGACAAACTTAACAAAGTTAACTTAATCTTAACTTAATGAAACACAGTTTTGCCACATTATACATATATTTTCATGTTTATTTAAAGTATTTTCCTCTATTTTTGCTTGAGAGTTCTTGTTGCTTGCATTCCAGTTGACCAAGATTCTTTGGCATGCAACACAGGTAATAATAAATATAATAAACTTTATTTATAGACTGCCCTATCTACCCGAAGGGACTCAGGGCGGTTTCCAACAATATGGCAAACATTCAATGCCAAAAGAAAACCATACAAACAGTTTACATCAGGACAAGACACATTGGACAATATAGAACAACATAGCTATAGATAAAAACACAAGAGCATTGAAATACATGCATTAAAAAACACAGACATAACATTAAGACACATTAAATATAAGTTTAACCTCACAGGTTACAATTGTCTGTCAGTGTACCAATACTGTAGAACTGAGGCAGTTTGATCTCACTTGGCTTTTGCCATGGAATCCTGGGAGTTGTAGTTTCATAAACCCTTTAGCCTTCTCTGCCAAAGAGTTCTGAGTTCACCAAACTGCAAAACCCATGATTACATGGTATTAAGTCAAGGCAGTTTAAAGCCCCTTCCACGCAGCTGAATAAAATCCCATATTATCTGCTTTGAACTGGGATACATGGCAGTGTGGATTCGGATATTCCAGTTCAAAGCAGATATTCTGCCCTGATATTCTGGTTTATATGGCTGTGTAGAAGGGCCCTGAGTGGGCTTAAACTGCACTAATTGCATAGTGTAGATTCCCACTGAGGAAGTCTCTAATTCTGTTTTAAATTATGACAGCTTATTTATTTATTTATGACATTTATATGCCGCCCTCCTCAACCCAAAGGGGCCTCAGAGCAACTTACTACACACACACACACACACACACAATATATATATATATATATATATATATATATATATATATAATTAGCATAGTACAATATCAGTATTAAATATTACTATATTGTATTATACCATTATATTTTACTATAATATTAGTAATATTACATGTAATATAAATATAGAATTATAATATCATTATTATTAGTATTATATTGCATTACATTATAATATTATAAATATTGTATGTATATACAATATATTAGCTTAGCTTCTGGCAGGTCATTCCACAGTTTAAGGGAGACCTCCTCCTCTCTTATATTTATTTATACCCTCCTTATCTCGCTTGTTCAGAGACCCAAAGCTTTAAAATTAGCATTTAAACCCCATATAATATTTATATTAAAAGAGAACTAAACCTGGAGGAAGCTGACCCCGGCTAAGCTCGATGGCTTGTTGCAAAACGGATGCTGCAGATGCTGACCAGAGCCTTAAAAGGACACCAGGTCTGGAGGCCCTAGGCCTTTCTCTTCTTGCCTCCCCCATTCATGAAACACTCCAGGGTGGCTTTACAAGCACGCGGATTCAAATCTCCAGTGCTTGCCTTAGCAGCCAATCGGCGCGCGAGGAGCTTTAACTTTGGAGCCAATAGGATGAAAGGAGGCGGGGACAGCCTTCACCAACTGACAGGAGACCAAAAGAAACGAGGAGCGGCGGGGAGAGACAGCAATCTGTTGGCAGCCAATCGGAGCTTTGGGACTTTAACTTTGGAGCCAATAGAAAGAGAGGAGGCGGGGCCAGGACCCCAGCGTGGACACGCCTTAGTCGGAGACAGCTTAGTTGCTCGGTTGCTAGGACACCACTAAGGAAGGAGGCCTGCAGTCCCTCAGGGAAGGAGCGGATGGCCGGGGCCAAAGGGGTCCAGAAGGAACCTCTGGACCAAGTGAGTCAGAACAAGATCTTCTGCGAGACCATTCGAAAAGAACTTAAATGCCAGAGGCTGCAAACCGAGTATGTCATGAACCCGCGCATACGGGGTATGTTCACATGTACACGTGTCTGGAGCGAGGGCGGGGGGGGGGAGGGGCATAGGGTGCCAGGTGTCCCTTATTACAAAAGGCGCCCCCTATTGGAGGGTTGGGAAGTGCTTCCTTCTATATAGGTTGAATAACCCTGTATGTTGTGCATGTGAGCCCTTCAATATTAAGGCAGAAATAGACGCATTGTGTAGTTTATGGACAACTAGAGTATATACAGTACTCTAGTTGTCTATGGTGGCGCAGCAGGTTTAACCTCTGACCAAAGGTTGGTGGTTCAAACCTGGGGAGCACGGTGAGCTCCTTCTGTTAGCCCCAGCTTCTGCCAACCTAGCAGTTAAAAACATGCAAATATAATAATAATAATAATAATAATAATAATAATATTTTTTTAAAAAAACTTTATTTGTACCCCGCTACCATTTCCCCAAGGGACTTGGTGCGGCTTACATGAAGCCAAGCCCGCAGTACATCAATAAAACGAAGGCAATAACAAAATAATCAATAGAAAACAGTAAAATAAATCTCATAAACAAAAATAAACAATAACAATAACATACAAGCATTTAAAAACCTATGGCCGGYCCAAATGTAATAATTTAAAATTGAAAAAATAATGCTGGGCATGAACAAGGTAGGGTATAACTAGGGTAGGATATGAGTATTTATTTATTTTATTTATTTAAAGCTTTTAGATCCCAATCTTTTGTACCTCCGTGGAGGGACTCAGACCGGCTAACAGCAGAAATTCAATGCACAAATACATCTAAAACATGATAAAATCATAATAAGTTAAAATACAGACAGAATAAATGCATATAAGCCAAATCTCCAAGATAGAGTCATGCCGGCCACATGACCTTGGAGGTGTCTACGGACACCAGCTCTTTGGCTTAGCAATGGAGATGATCACCACCCCCCAGATTCGGACACAACTAAACTTAATGTCAGCAGAAACCTTTACCATTACCTTAGAGCAGGGGTCCTCAAACTTTTTGAACAGAGGGCCAGGTCACAGTCTCTCAAACTGTTGGAGGGCCGGATTATAATTTGGGAAAAAAATGAATGAATTCCTATACACACTGCACATATCTTACTTATAATGCAAAAAACACTTAAAAACAATACAGTAATTAAAATGAAGAACAATTTTAACAAATATAAACTTATTATTTCAATGGGAAGTGTGGGCCTACTTTTGGCTGATAAGATAGGTTTGTTGTTGTGTGCTTTCAAGTTGTTTCAGACTTAGTTTGACCCTGAGTGAAGGCCAGGTAAATGACCTTGACGGGCCGTATCCGGCCTCCAGGCCTTAGTTTGAGGACCCCTGCCTTAGAGTGTGTGTGTGTGTGTGTGTGTGTGTGTGTATGTGTGTATGTATATATATATATATCCAGTTTTGCATTGTTTGTGACTCTTTTCTTCTCCTTCATACACCTAGTTTATTTCATTACTTCTTTTCTTCCCTTGCTTTCTCTCATACACCTTCCTCTTTCTTTCCTTCCTTCCTTCCTTTCTCTTCCTTCAACTTCCCTTGTTTTTCTTTCTTTTCTCCCATTTCAATACCCTTTTCCCTTCCTTTATCCCCTCCCCTTCATTTTGCTTCCTTATAATAATAATAATCTTTATTTGTATCCTGCCCCATCTGAGGGGATTCGGAGTGGCTCACAACAATATAATTATACAAATTGTCTTGACAACAACACACATAAATGTATCCTATTTAAATTAAATCAACAGTTAATAATGAGGCAAAAAATATAAAAATAAAGCAATATTTTAAAATTACATAAATCATTCATTTTTTTCTATTTTTCTTCTTTTTGGTTTTTTTTATTATATGAAAAAATTCTAATATTTTTTTTAAAAAAATCATTCATTAAAAAATCCCAGCCACCTGTTCAAGTGAAAAGGAACAGTAATATCCAATTTTAGATTTACCTTATTTCTCCAACCATTAGATGAAATTAAGTTTACCCATTTAAAAATGCCTGTTTGAATAGCCAGTTTGAATACTTATAATAAATAATAATACAACTTTAATTATACTTTGCCACCATCTCCCCAAGGGGGACTCGGGGCGGCTAACATGAGGACAAGCCCAAGAATTACAAGAGTAAAATGCATACAACAGATAACATCAAATCAAATGCAAACAATAACAAAATAATACAAAAGGGTAAACACAAGATATAAAATAATAAAGGAACTTCTGTCCTTTTTCTTTCTTCCCTCTCTATCCTTTCCTTCTTTTCATTCCCTTCTTTTTTTCTTTCCTTCCCCTCATACACGTCACCCAGCAGCAGCCAATCTGCTTCCCTCCCCTTCTTTCCCCATTACATGACAGAGGGCCACTTCACATAGTAATGGCCAATTTGCTTTGTTTCTTGTCTTTACCTCAGCTCTGGACCTGAAGCAGATGGGTATTTTTAATTCAAACCCCACAATTATTTTCGGTTGGATAGTGAAGAATACAAATGCCAAGTTTGGTCCAGATCCATCAAGCCGCGCAGAAACCTTTGTGGTACAAACGAACGTATATGGATACATTGACTTTCTCGTATTAAAACATAATTTTAAAACAGTGTGCATGTTGTATTACCTAAGATTGTATTTGCTACCATAGATGGATACCTTCCTGATAGCTAGACCTGTTAGATGGAACATGCAGGAATCATGTTCCACTTACTAACTTTTAGACCTCACCACTCCTTCCTTCCTTCTTTCTAAAATACTGGAAAGCTTCCAGTCTCAAGGGGTTTATGTAGGTGGAGGTGCATGTATTACCACTACTTCCATCTTTCTCTGAAAACCCTATCCTAGTTTACCCTACCTTGTTCATGCCCAGCATTTTTAAATTTTAATTATTACATTTGGCCCGGCCATAGGTTTTAAATGCTGTGTGTTATTGATATTGTTATTGTTTATTGCTTATTGTGTATTTTCTGTTTTTGAGTTTATTTTAATTGTTTTGTATTATTTGTTATTGCTTTTGTTTATTGATGTGCTGTGGGCTTGGCCTCATGTAAACCGCACCGAGTCCCTTGGGAAGATGGTAGCAGGGTACAGATAAAGTTTTATTATATTATTATTAATGTGTTTCTGGCAATGTCCCTATACCTGAAACCATGCCAGAGAAAATGACAGCTATCTAACTTGGCTGAAGGCTTTCTCTTGCTGCTGTTGTGTAAGGTCAGTTAGTTACTAATTTGCATTACTCTGTTTTTCCCTTTAGTTTACACCACAACTGGAAAGCCTACGTCTTGGCATGATAATTTAGAGGAGCCTGCAGATGGTAAGAACTCCTTGCCTTTGAGACACAAAGTAACTTCACCCTGTAAATGGAAGATCTCTATGCTGTCAATGCACACTAGTTGCAAACTTTGTATGTGTGTTTTTCTTTTTCTTTTTTAATGCAATACAACTGTTTGGTTAGCTCCTGACACAATAAATAAATAAATAAAGCACACTATAATAATTAATGTTTACAAAGTTAAGCAGAGACACTAAGTTAGCTGAATGTGCTTTGTCTGCCAGTTTCATTTTTATTCAAATCATAATAAAATGCCATGAAGACAGATATTTAATCTCATTTATACACAAATAACACAATTCTTTTTATTATTACCATAAATATTATAGTGTGTGTATTAGTCATCTTGAGAAGATTGAACCTGAAAGGCAGCATACAAATTAAAATTCAACTTTACAGCACTTTGGGCACTACGCAGTAAAAGTTCGCAAGTCTTTGGGGCAGAGACCAATGTCAGTGTGGTGTCTTCTGAATGATTTACATCCAATCCATATTTATTTTGTCACTGTTTCAACTCAACAGCTGGATTTCTGAAGCTTATTCATCATGCTGCACTTGAACCTAATAAGAAATACAGGGAACCACAATCCGAAAGCCAGGAAATTGGCTGGTTTTCCAACCCTTTGGTGAGTGGTGTTTTCAAGAGTCTTTAGGGAGATAAGTGTTTGGGAGAATTACTGCTGTAAGAGAACGACATCTTACAAATCTTAGCTTTCATGGATTACTGTAACTCCTAAGGAAATCTTCAACATTTGTAAGCCGTATCTCATGACTTATCCAAAGCCAGACATTACAGTTGGCAGGAACAAGGAAAAGTTTTAGAAGATACCCCCATTCCTTGTTTTTCATTTATCACAGATGTTTCTTACTCCGTTATCTCCTTCACAGGTCAGCGTCAACCGCAATGACAGCAGGCTGCACTTCCCAAGTCGGACCACTGAAATCAGCAGATATATGGCTGAAATGTGGCGTCTGAAGGAAATGTCAAAAAATAAGTGATAGAACAAGAACATTTGCACTTAGCCAGGAAGACATCAATTTAGAATTTCTGACTGTATGAATCCTACATCTTAATTGTAGCAATATAGAAATAAATTACAGGCAAGGAAGATTGTTCACTGTTCTTAATATTCCAATAAACCTGTTCCCAACCACAGCTTTTCTTTTCTTAATTTGCCAATATTTCCTTCATACGGGTGGATAAGACAATATATTTCCCAGCCATAAGTTCTGTTTTTCTCAGTGTATACTGTTCATGCATCAGGTTCATGTTGCCCCTGCTGAACAATGGCATAAGAGCACTGCTTTTACGCAATGGGATTCCTGAATGAGCAGAACTATAGGAACCACTACTTCCATATTGTGCAAGTACAAAGCCGTGCCATGTGAAGAGTCCAGCAAATGGAAAGATTCTGTGACTTCATCAAAGCAAGTCAGAATGGATATCCCACAATAAAAAGTACAGATGGAGTGTTGTTAAATCTGTAAAAATATTTTAATCCACCATTTTACATGAGGCTTTAGAAAGATCAAACCAGTATGACAACAAGAAGCATCTAGGTAGCCTTTTCGATATAAATACTGGTGTATTCAGTATTAGGTTGCAACAGCTTCTGTTTCTATAGCAAGCTGAATGGCCTTTCAGGTGAAAGTAAACATGAATTCATTCTGATAACTTTATGGAAAAATTCAGACTTCAGGGGGAAAATGTTCATCCAATTTACTCTTTATCGAGAACGGTTCTTCATTTTCTGCCTCACTTTTTTGCCAGGCCTCTTCTGTAAATAGAATTAAAGACAAATAAGAAATCACACATCAGGTTATCACACTTGTCTAGCCCAACAGCAACACAAAAAAGACTCCAAAGCCATATGATAAATATTCTCCAACAATGTAGTTGTATCTAGAGATAGTTATCAGTGATTCACATTTATTACTTGTATATATTCTTCCACAATGAGATTCAAAGTAACACACATGTGCTGACTTCTCAGAATGATCAGGGCATGCCTTTAGGACATGGAAGATACTTACATTGGCATTCTTTTTTCCTGCTTTCCCAGGCCCCTTGTAGTGGGCTTTGCTAGCACGGAAACTGGATACATCATTATGACTTTCTTTGGTATTCCACTTCGACCCTTTCTTCTTTCCACCAAAACCAAACTTCTGATTTTTGTAGCGTCGTTTTGCACTTTGTCTGAAAAGAAAAAAATTAATAACCTTCATTATTTGGCAACTGTCCATATCTCTCAAGACAACCCCTCAGTTGCTCTCTTCTCAAAAATAAATATTCTAACCATTGCCCAAATTCATCTTATGTAGCCCTTTCTCACACTTCCACAGGTAGTGAAATGTGTCCCATTCTTACTGATTCTTAATAGTAATATACTAGTCATTCCACAGCAAGAGAATTATGCTTCAATGAAAATACAAGAAGCCTGTAGTTGTGCAAAAATCACCAAAGAACCAAGACTTTAAATCTGAGAAGAGATATCTTATACACTGATAAAGCTGGACCCAACCATCTGAAATTATGAAACATGTATTTTGAAATGTATTTACTTTAAACAATCCCTTAATGAATGTGGAAACCAGATATCCTAGTAACACTAAATCTGAACATCACGATTTAAAATAGAAGGTAATGGTGCATAAGTATATTGTAAGGACCGAAAAAAATCCTTCCTTCTCTACTATAAAGAAATGTCTTAAACAAATCTGCTTTGTACCAAAAATGTAAATCAAGCACTGTAAATAAAACAAATTATTTAACAGAAAGACCACTTATTGGAAAACAAAATAAATACAAGTCTTTCTGGGATTTTTTTCCACTTCTCTAGGTCTTACCCTTTATTTACTGGTTTGCCTCCAGCAACCTGTTTTTTTCCTTGAGGAGCTGATGCCTTCTCACCCTCTAAGAAGTCCAGTTTGTCAGAAAGACCTATGTGAAAGGCAAAACCGGATTTGGGAATAGTTTCAGTAGAATTTCTCAATAAAACTGGGCCTTAGCACATATACCTATGCAGACAGAAAGACATGAAACACTTTATTTTTAACAGATCTCATGGGCTAAGTGGCAGCTGGGGAATATACACCCCTTCATATGGTAAGTAACTACTAACTCTTAACACCGGCTGGCTAGAATAAGACTGACAAGAATTGGAGTCCAGCAACATCTGTAGGGCCACACATTCCAACTATGGTCAAATTATTATAATTCCTGATTTGCCAATGAAGAAATAGAGATAGGTTGTGGAATTTATGTAGCACTAGATTATACTAGATAGAGAGTATCTTGGGATGAAATGGGGGTGTCTTTTACAGTTATGGAGAGAAAGGTAAAGTTTCTTTATGGACCTTAATATATAGGCAGTGCATACTGTGATGACAATGCTTGGGGTTAAGGTAGGCTCACCTTTTTGGTATTTCTTGATTGAGTTCAACATTGTGGACTTCTCTTTTTGCCTCTTCTGCAGAACCTCAGTTTGTACCTATCAATATGAAGCAGAATACAGGTGTTGCTCTTCCAAAAAATTCACCTTTTTCTTAAAACGCCTTTTGTTGTTGTCATACTGAGATATCTTTCCCACATAACTTAAGGAATCCAGTAGTTAGATATAGCTCCCCCAATCTCAACTTCATGCAAGAATATCTGATCTTGTCGCAAATGTTATACTCACCTTTTTGCCATATTTCCGCAGAGCACGAAGCTGTTTAGCCCTTTCAGACTTCTCCATCGCTTCTTGTTTGCTCTTCAGTTTTTGCCTAATCTAATTAAGACAGAGCAATGAATATGCTTCACATCCCAATGAAGGAAGATTCCTAAACATACAGCTATGGAACTCAGATTCATAACAGAATTTATTATTTTCAGTGTGTTGCTACCTTACAAATCTATCATTCAGGACACCAATAAATGGGGATAATGGAGAGCTTTGTAGTTACAAAAGCAGAACAAGTAATTAAAAAGAAATCAGTATTATCCTGATTTCTCTTATTATTAATCATCCTTCTCTCCTTTGCTTGCTTGATCATTGCATGGAGCATACATTTTTACCGGAAGTGATTTTATAAGAGAAGCACAGAAAACATATCCAATGAATCAATTATGTCAACACCTTCAACTATTGTTTGTGGTGAATTGCTAGTAATATCTCACATCTTTTATTTCATTATGCATAATGTTCTATCTAAGGCCAATTATCACTACAGTAAACACGTATCTTAAGGATTTCGTGTTCAAACTGGGAAAGCAAAGAATCTTGTCCAAAATCTTACTTAACATTTAATGATAAGTGTTTCTGTAAATTTATTTTTCAGAAGCTCCTTTTTCCTGTACTTATTTCTTCTGTGTTTCTCACACCCATTAATGGCTAAACCAACAAATGTCAGGCTGAGAGTGTCACAATTCTATATCTGATCACCTAGATTAGGAAGATAGTCATTATAAGAGCTAGAAATTTTAATTTTAAAATGTGAGGAGCAATAAACCTTACCTTCTGCATCTGCTGATCAGATTTTGCCATTTCTGCAAAATAGTCATCAGGACGTCTGGTAGGTATTTTCAGCTTATGTAGTCGAGGTAAGGCCTCTAGGACAGATGCTTGGGCTTGATGGTAACTGTGGAAACAAAAGAATAACATGTTAGAGAAGTTTTATATATAGTTCATAGTGAAATATTCCATGTCCTGGCACTGTAAGTGACCAGATTGTGGGCTTTATGACATTGCTACCCATAATCATATATTTAAAATTAGAACATTTAGCCCATCTCTCTTTTCCCATGTAAAATACTATTCAAATCAGGATATTCAATATATAACCATGTCATGCAAACTTCCTGGATTGAGAAAACTTCATTTCCTGTTCCCCAGCTAGTGTATCTTTTCCCCAGAAAGCTTACTGCATTCTCCCAAGTGAGGATGATATTCCTGTTAGTATTATTTCTCTCTAAATGGGTTGCATTGATGTATCTTGTAAAATAACCGATTCTTGCACACACTGACATTCCACACACACAATATGTATTGCACTTAGTAGTCCCAACTAAGGGAGATAAAAAGAAACCATTTTAATATTGCAGTCACCCAGTATGATAGAAGGGTACTGATAACAATGCTAGTTTCTGGGTGGTAGCAACTTTTGGAGATGCAATGGAAAATACTACTAGTATTCCCCAGCTGTTTTTGGTTATATTTTGCCGCTGTACGCTTATTGTCTGACAATACATTACAGCAGCACATATCCATGACAAAGTGACATAGTGAGGACATAAGATCATTCTGAAAAATCAGGAAAAATAGTAATACAAATATGTATTTTTCATTGAGCTTGCAACTATTGTTAGCCATTGTGCTTGGGGAAAATATTCTTAATAAATCCCAAATAAGGTCACAAAACATTTCACTCCATTGAATATGCACTTTCAAATTTACTGCCAGTATACAGAAGCAAACAATGTCTAAATCAAATTACTAATCATACCCAGAACAGAGCCATTAAATCAACATAAGTCACATAACTATGGACATATGATATTCCTACTAATTCGAAATGACTACAAACTGCATTTTAGCAAATGCTCCATTAGGTTATTACATATGTGTAGTGAGCAACTTCTGAAAATGCTACCAAAGTTGTGAGAATGAGATGCAACTTTTATTATTTTGTGTCTGTGTGTCAGGAGTGAACTGAGAAACTGCAAGTCGCTTCTGGTGTGAGAGAATTGGCTGTCTGCAAGGACGTTGCCCAGGGAATGCCTAGATGTTTGATGTTTTATCATCCTGTTGGAGGCTTATCTTATGTCACTGCATGGAAAGCTAAAGCTCAACAGAGGGAAGCTTACCCCACTCTCCAGATCTGAACCACCAACCTGTCGGTCAACCAGTTCAGCTGGCACATGGGTTTAACTGAGGGTTCCAACTTTTGTTATGTAAGAGGATAAAGAAAATAAAACACACAAAGCTACCAATTACAGTGAGAAAATTCAAGAAGAAATAGACTTACAAACTCATTTCTCTTTTGAAGTCATCCTCAGGATCATCAGCATCATTGTCAGTGGTTTGATTAGAAGGTGCAGTCGTGGTGTTTGTTGGCAGGTAAGAGGTAAGATCAAGCCTTTCAACCCAGTCCAAGTCCCTCTGGAACTCAGATAAGCACTGCTTCAGTCCATTCTAGGAATAATAATATGATGTGAGGAATAGAGTAATACAGAGAACTTCCATACACTATTTAACAGTCTTTTCCAACCTAGTGCTCTTCACACTTGTTGAACTACAACTCTTTCCAACATCTTCAGTCAATATTGGCCATGCTAGATGTGCTTGATGTGGATTCTAGTGCAGCACCTTGGGAAAAGGCTGTGCTGTCATGACAACAAAAACAATCATATGAGCCTGAAAAATCCCCACCCATCCCTCAAACCATCAACCTTCTCGGTGGTGGCTCCTCGGCTGTGAAACACCCTTCCCGTGGACATCAGACTGGCTCCTTCCCTGATGATATTCCYCAGGAAATTAATGACTTGGTTGTTCAAGAAGGCGTTCGAACAAGAAGTGCAATGATTGGTAATGATGATAGGATTGGAACAACGGAAATGATACTGGATTGTGGTTTGGACGATGAGACGACGTGGAATGGCTTTTGTAGTAATGATGATGTTTTTGATTATGATGTTTTTGATMATGATGTTTTTATTTAATGTTGGATGTGGATTTTATATTATGTCTTGAATTTTTGAATTTTGTTCCTTCTGTGTTGTACACCGCTGTGAGTCGTCCCCGGGCTGAMAACAGCAGTATATAAGCAAAGTAAATAAATAAATAAACTAGATGTTGTGCTGATAAAAGTATTCCCTTAAGATTCCCATTAGATATTACACACTATATTTGCTGCTTCCTAGCCAAGGAGACACCAGGTTTTTTTAAATAAAAGCCTTTCCCAGTCATAAGCTATAAGCAAAAATGAAGTTGCTTCTGCCTCAACAAGGACAACAGCAACAGAAATTGATGCAAGCTTCTCTGTCTTGAAGAAAACGAATAAATGACCACATTTTATATCCTCGACAGAATGTTTCAAATTGATTTTGCTATGTGTATTAAATAGATACCAATGTATTTAAATGACCCCCCCCCCCCTCCAGTTCAATACCATCCGGAGTTTATTTACAATTATTTCATTCTGGCAAAATACTTTTTTTCAGTAATCAAAATGTTCCACTCGGAGAAGCAGATGAACCACACACATGAACTGATTCCACATGGGTCACAGGCATATAGGACTTACCACATTGTTGATAATTTTCGGCCGTCCCTCTAGCACAACATTTAAGCCTGGCTTTAGTGATCCTTTAGAAAACGCCTGCTGGAGCTACATAAAGAAATCTTATATGTACATTTTCTTGACTAGTGTTACCATACACAAATATAAAAAAAACTTATTTAGTCATCCCTTTGATAATGAAAAGGAATGTGTAAACGATCAATACACAGAAACATATGGAGAATGAAGCCAAATGATTGAAAGATATAATGTAGTCTTCCAGATGTCATTAGACTACAATTCACATAATTTTTCTCCATCGGTTATGCTAATTAGGGAAAAAGGAAATTGCAGTTGACTATCTGAAGGACCAAACCACACATTCTAGTTCCAAATAGTCAATGCAGAAATCTATTCTTATATTGACATGTCCTGACACTGCACTGTGAGTTGGTAGACCCTGGCTCAAATCTTTTTTTCTCAAGCTTTGAAACAATGAGGTTCTTTCATACTCCGTTTCTTGCCTTTAATACAAAAATAACACTATTTAATCGGATATTCTCTCCTATCTTGTTCATGCCTAGCATTATTTTTTAAAACTTTAATTACATTTGGCCCAGCCATAGATTTTAAATGTGTGTTGTATTACTGTCATTGTTTATTGCTTTTTTTGTTTATGAGCTTTATTTTAATTGTTTTTATTGTTGTTGTTATTGCTTGTATTGATGTATTTTGGGCTCGGCCTCATGTAAGCCGCTCCGAGCCCCTTGGGAGATGGTAGCGGGGTACAAATAAAGTTTTTTATTATTATTATTATTATTCTAATTGAGATAATCTATATAAAGTTCTTTGTGCCTTTAAAATATTGTTCATAAAGATGAGATATCATTAGGTGTTACTGATATATTTAAATACAGTTTCCAGTTTCTATTACTGTGAAATGAAGTAGTGCATCCTACACACAGCTATTACAACAATGTTGCATCCTTGCTCTAAACAAGATGAAAAAGTGGCCTTCCATTGCAGCCTATGAAGAGAAATTGTTACCAGGGCCAATCCCAAGCTGATATGGAACTCAACTACAACTCTCAGTCCTTTACGTCACTAGTTTATCACAGTGGTTTTCAACCTTTGGTCCTCCGGGTGTTTGGGACTTCAACACCCAGAAATCCCAACCATCTTACCAGCAGTTAGGACTTGTGGGAGCTGAAGTCCAAAACACCTGGAGAACCAAAGTTTGGGAAACAGTATATTATCAGATCCCCTACTCAGCCATGCCCCTAAGAGAGAAAAAGTGGCCCGCCCCCACTCCTGCACAGAACAAACAATAACAGTCCAAACTCACCTCACGGTCTGTAACAAGAGACTCATCCGAATCTGAGGACGATGACCAATCTTCGTCCATTTCCATGTGGGGCATCTCAGATCCTTTTATGATAACTGGATTCAAGGCAAAATAGTTTGAAAACACATTCCATCCTCCAGAACATGAGCTAAAATGGGAGTAACTGCACAAATACCCTAAATGCACGAGATCAAAACAACTTATTAATGCAAGCAATCCAAAATACTGGCCAATACAGGTATATACCATAAAAACCCAATCTAACCATCGCTAATAATAAATATGCATCCCATTATGATTCATTCAGACTAGAGTAAGAAAGATAGGTGATTAAATGTTGTATAGGTTGAAAAAAATACTATCTCTGTATAAAGTTAGTCTGGACTGTTTCCTCCCCAATTTTGGAAACAGGGTGCATCTACACTGTAGAATTAATGCAGTTCAATATCGCTTTAATCTTAAGCTGCACTCTATGCGAGGCATGGGCAAACTTTGGCCCTCCAGGTGTTTTGGACTACAACTCCCACAATTCCTAACAGCCTACCGGCTTTTAGGAATTGTGGGAGTTGCAGTCCAAAACACCTGGAGGGCCAAATTTTGCCCCAGCCTGTTATAAGCACACTTACCTCCTACCGACTGAGCACGAGGAAACCATACAACAGCTACTTCCGGTACGGATGTGACGTTCTACCGGGCATTTCCGATTCGTTTCGGCCATCTTTTTCGAGGGCGCTACATCCGGGACGCTGTTGCCATAGCAACCGGCTGTGAAGCGTTGTCTCCCTGGTCGACTCAAGGCTGCAGACGGAGCAAGCGAGGCCGAGACGGACTCTCAGCCGGTGGTTGCTCTCGTTTTTCCGGCACAGGCTCCGAACCTGCGGCGCCATGTCGGTGATCGTGGCCCAAGCGCTGCACATCTTTGGCTTCCAGTCTCGCGTGGCCAATAACATTTGTTTCTTTGACGAGCAGATCATAGTGTACCCCGCGGGGAATAGCTGCGTGAAGTATCACATTGAGCAGAAATGGCAGAAGTTCATCCCAGGTAAATCTAGCCACCTCCCTCCAGGTGTATTGATGTTTTCATCCAGTGGTTCTCAACCTGTGGGTGCCCAGGTGTTTTGGCCTTCAGCTCCCAGAGATCCTAGCAGCTGGTAAACTGGCTGGGATTTCTGGGAGTTGTAGGCCAAAACACCTGGGGACCCACAGATTGAGAGCCACTGTTTTAATCCATCTCCATCAGGCATGGGCAAGCTTCGGCACTCCAGGTGTTTTGGACTTCAGCTCCCACAATTCCTAACAGTCTCAGGCCCCTTGCTTTTCCCCCTCAGCCACTAAAACTATGACATCTAACAAAACTAAATCTAAAACAAACACACAACTACTAAAACTATTCTACAAATTTCACATTCAGTATGTTGTTGTTCATTCATTCAGTCCGACTCTTCGTGACCTCATGGACCAGCCCACGCCAGAGCTCCCTGTTGGCCGTCACCACCCCCAGCTCCTTCAAGGTCAGTCCAGTCACTTCAAGGATGCCATCCATCCATCTTGCCCTTGGTCGGCCCCTCTTCCTTTTGCCTTCCACTTTCCCCAGCATAATTGTCTTCTCTAGGCTTTGCTGTCTCCTCATGATGTGGCCAAAGTACTTCAACTTGGTCTCTAGTATCCTTCCCTCCAATGAGCAGTCGGGCTTTATTTCCTGGAGGATGGACTGGTTGGATCTTCTCGCAGTCCAAGGCACTCTCAGGACTTTCCTCCAACACCACAGTTCAAAAGCATCTATCTTCCTTCGCTCAGCCTTCCCTAAGGTCCAGCTCTTACATATTCAGTGTAAACCTATCATATCATGCAGTTCAATGTCTAGCTGGCCATATAATGCAGTTCCAAGCTGTTTGATATTGCAGAGTATATCCAGCCCCAATCTGTTGATATTTACCCCCTAATTATCCTGCTTCCTTTGGATAACACTGTATCACCACACCTCTGTGTTTCATCACATTCCTCTAGTCCACTGGTTCTCAACCTGGGGTCCCCAGATGTTTTTGGCCTTCAACTCCCAGAAATCCTAACAGCTGGTAAACTGACTGGGATTTCTGGGAGTTGTAAGCCAAAACACCTGGGGACCCACAGGTTGAGAACCACTGTACTACATACTACATTCCCCTTTGGAAATGGGCTGGGGCTGGGGGGCTGGACCCAGACAGAGAGTGTAAGCGAGTAGGGTGTAAGTGAATGGAAGCAATCACAGTGTAGAGGAAAAAGACCTGATGAATGCTATTTTTCCCAAAAGGGATGCCAAAATCTGCCCCTGTTCAGAACTCAGAGGCAGTTCTGTTTTGCCTTCTGCTGTCTATTCAACAAGTTAATATTTTAAGTCACTGGTGAGTGTGTTTCCAGAGGCTATTATTATTATTATTATTATTATTATTATTAACTTTATTTGTACCTCGCTAGCATCTCCCGAAGGACTCGATGGGGCTTACAAAGGCCAAGGCCTCAAAACACAACATAACAATACACAACCTAAAGCAAATTAAAAAATTAAAAACAGTTAAAGCAAAATTACACAACAAGCAATAAACAATACACCAAGACACAATAAAACTGGGCCGGGCCAGAGTAATGGGTACAGATCAAAAGTGCTGAAGTGACAGGTGATATGTAAGGATTATAGAGTAAGTGCAGTGTGCCAGCAATCTTAATTCTAATAAAGTGCTTCTGGGACTTGTTATTGGAGTTTTCCTATTCTGGAAAGGCACAGGGTGGAGTGGGCCTTTTCCAGTCTGTTTCAGTATACATACTGCTCTAGTCCCAGCATGGGCAAACTTCAGCCCTCCAGTTATTTTGGACTGCAACTCCTACAATTCCTAACAACTGGTATTTATTTATCGTGTCAGGAGCGAACCAAAAGGTTGTATTGTATTTTACACAAAGTTTGCAGACTTGGTATTCTATTAAATGTTGTTTGACCAGTAGCTGGCCACTTGGAGTGTCTTATGTGTTACTATAAGAAGGTTCTCCATTGTGCATGTGGCAGGGTTCAGGTTGCATTGTAGTAGGTGGTCTGTGGTTTGCTCTTCTCCACACTCGTGGACTCCACTTTGTAGCCCCATTTCTTAAGGTTGGCTCTGCATCTCCTGGTGCCAGAGCACAGTCCGTTCAGTGCCTTCCATGTTGCCCAGTCTTCTGTGTGCCCAGGAGAAAGTCTCTCATTTGGTATCAGCCATTAATTGAGGTTCTGGATTTTAGCCTGCCACTTTTGGACTCTCGTTTGCTTAGGTGTTCCAGTAAGTGTCTCTGTAGATCTTACAAAACTATTTCTTGATTTAAGGCGTTGGCGTGCTAGCTGACATCCAAACAGGGGATGGGCCGGAGATGTTACTGCCGTGGTCCTTTCACTATTGGTTGCTACTTCCCGACGGATGTCAGGTGGTGCAATACTGGCTAAACAGTGTAATTTCTCCAATGGTGTAGGGCGCAGTCACCCCATGATAATGCAGCATGTCTCATTAAGAGCCACTGATTTAGCGTGGTGAGATGTGTTCCACACTGGGCCTGCATACTCAGCAGCAGCGTAGCAAAGTACAAGGGCAGATGTCTTCACTGTATCTGGTTGTGATCCCCAGGTTGTGCCTGTCAGCCAGTAGGCTGTTAGGAATTGTGGGAGTTGAAGTCTAAAACACCGGGAGGGCAGATGTTTGCCCATGCCTGCCCTAGTCTAATGCATTGAAGATTTCCCCCATCATTGCTGTGAATTGGTGGTTCAATTGCATTGAACTATGGCAATTAAAGTGATGTCAAACTATCTGCATTTTACAGTGTAACTGTACCCTTAGATATGGTTCTGCCAGTTCCTTCCTTTGAAATGTAACCCACACACCTGATATTCATTGGCAGTCTCCCATACAATACCAACGTGCATTGATTTATTGTCATTTTGGATAACAAAAATGTTTAAGTTGCCAGGTTATGCTCATGGAGATTTTGCTTGTATGTGCACATGTGTGTTTGCTTTACAGGCTCAGAGAAAAGTCAAGGGATGCTTGCACTGGCAATTAGTCCAAATCGGCGCTATCTGGCCATTTCAGAGACACTCCAGGATAAACCTACTATCACAGTTTATGAACTGTCCTCTGTCCCATGCAAGAAACGAAAGATCCTGAACTCCTTTGATTTCTCTGTCCAAGAATTTATCAGCCTGGCATTTTCCCCGGATTCTAAGTATCTAGTGGCACAGACAGGGCCCCCTGATTCACACCTTGCCTATTGGATGTGGGAAAAGCAAAGAACAATGGCTATTATTAAGGTTGATGCTCAGAACAATCCCCTCTATCAGGTAAGATGAAAGACAAAGATGAATATCCTGGGTAGGCCACATTTAAATAATACTCAGGTACTTACTCTCACTGCATTATTACTTCAATGAATACTTTTTCACAATTGGAGACCACAGTTAGTGAAGCTGTGATTGTTACAATGGTGTTAACATGAAATCCAAGCTCCAAACTTCCTTTTGCACAATGTTTTCCTGTACTCAGAAGGCAGGGTACACACATATTTCAGATCAGCAGTTACACTTAAGGCAGTACTGTCCTGCTCTTCCAGTTACTGAATGTATATCCAGTAGTCTTTGTTCATAAATTGCATGTCCCCAAAATAGTCCAAACCTAGAATTAGGTCTCGGTTTGAGATTGTTGTGATAGAACCCCATCACTATAAAGAAGCGTAGGACAGATTTCAAAGCACTAACAATCCAGTCTAGAAATTCCAGTATATGAAGCTGCCTTAGGTTAGTCATTATGATGATGGCTCGGCTCTGCTCATGAAATTGGCATTATGTGTAAACATTTCTAATGGAATATCTCAGGTACAGAAAAGTAGAGATTTCCATAGTTCCGGTTCAGTCCTTGGGTGCTTATTTTTTTGTATTTTCCTTCACAACATAAATATAATGTTCTGGAGACAAAGCCTCAAAAGGGTTGTGGGTGGTGGATGTAATCAGCACACCTAAAATCATGAACCTGAGCAAGAGTTTCTCTGACAAATATGTTCCCATACATCAGGATCATACTGGCTTCCTAATCACAAATGAAGGGCTAAATTGATTAAAAGAATCCTCCTAGTCATCTTCA